CTATAAATGGTTATATTTATCTGCAAAGTCCCAAACCTGATACTTTGAGACCCCCCCATAGCATTAATTATGGAACTTCCTCCCTGAAGGGTCCTCCAGCTATTCTGTAAGGTGACCAACCATCCCAGTTTGCCCAGGGCTGAGAGGTTTTCCAGGATGTAGGGCTACCTGTTTTACACGGGGACCATCCCAGGCAAATAAAGCTGAGCTGGTCCCCCGTTCTTATAAATGTAAACTCAAGAGAGTTGTCTCCTCTGAGCTTCCACACTAACTCATTTTTTTAAACAATGAACACACATTTGTTTACAACAATAAGCATTAAAATTATTTATTAAAAACAACAGGCCAGGTGCCGTGGCTCACACCTGTAATCACAGCACTCAGGGAGGCCAAGGAGGGAAGACTGCTTGAACTCCTCCAGGAGTTCAAGACCAGCCTGGGCAACATAGCGAAACTCTGTCTTAACAAAAAAAATTTTTTTAAGTTAGTCAGACATGGCTGGGCTCAGTGACTCACCCTTGTAATCCCAGCACTTTGGGAGGCCAAGGCGGGCAGATCGCCTGAGGTTGGGAGTTCAAGACCAGCCTAACCAACATGAAGAAACCCTGTCTCTACTAAAAATACAAAACTAGCTGGTGTGGTGGTGCATGCCCGTAATCCCAGCTACCCAGGAGGCTGAGGCAGGAGAATTGCTTGAACCCAGAGGCGGAGGTTGCAGTGAGCCGAGATCACACCATTGCACTCCAGCCTGTGTAACAACAGCAAAACTCTGTCTCAAAAATAAAAATAAGCCAGGCATGGTAGTGTGTGCCTGTAGTCTCAGCTACTTGGGAGGCTTCAATGGAAGGACCGCTTGGGCCCGGGAGGCCAAGATTACAGTGAGCCAAGGTCGCACCACTCCAGCCTGGGTGGCATAGCAAGACTCTGTCTCTGAAAACAATGATAATCATAGACAACATCAGTATTAAGGAGCAGCCATGGATACATGCAGCAGTTGGTGAAAGCAGCCAGAACAGGAAACCCTGTTACAAGAAAGGGGTGCCCGGGAGAGGGCAGAGGAGCCACCATGACTGGTAATGGATGCTGGGAGGGAAGAGGACGCTCTGTGCTGATTATGGACCACCTCAGTTTGCTCTCCTGTAAAATGGGACTTGAACTACACCAGGACTCCTCGACATTTTTAGGCGCTAGAGCAAATGGGAGTTGTGGTATTTGGGGCAGAGACCCTAAAGAAGGGGAAAGCTGGCATCTGACTTCACTAAGTTTAATTTGCAGAGAAGTGTCAAACTGAATTAAACTGACCCTTATTAAACCAAATATGAAACTGCAGCCATGAACATGTGGTCACAGGAGGAAAAGGAAACTGGCAAAATAAGCAGGTGGCCGCTTTCAAGTTTTCCCACTGATTCTTGCCAGCTCCTTGTTCATTTGTCTGTCTGCTGGCATCTTTTTGCCAAGTGGTCACAGAGAATCCAAAAAAGTTTGGAGAAAAATGGAAAATCAAAAAGACGATAGCCATTTGTCATTAATTGGTGCCATATATATATATATATATATATATATATATATATAGAGAGAGAGAGAGAGAGAGAGAGAGAGAGAGAGAGAGATGAATTGGTAGCACCCACATGTGGAAGGAGCCTGGCCTGAGACTGGGTGAAAGGCTGCTTAGGGGCCTTGCCCAGCCAAATCCTAAGACCCTTTCCCAGCCCCAGCTGCTGTAGGAGTCACCGTCCAGCTGGTCCTGGCAGCACCCTGGGGACCTGAAGCAGGGGCAATTGTCCCAATTTGTTGTCCCAGCCTCAGCTGTTCACAGCATCAGCTGTTCCCAGCAACAGACACAAGCCCAACAGAGCAGGCCAGATCTCGAAGCATGGCCAGATGGCAGCAGGCATCCATGGGGCAGCACACCTCGCAAGGCAGCTGGGCAGAGGCCCTATGTTCATGGGAGAGCAGTCGGGACGGGCACAGATGCCTGGTAATGGGTTTCAGAAGTGGGAGAGCCAAGCAACCAGCTGCCCTTGGGTGGGGGCTGCCCCTAGCAGCTGCAGAGGGGCTAGTGAAATCTTGCAGTGGCCCCAGCCCAGGGACACACTGTGTGCAGCCTGGAGTCACATACCACCAGAGCCCTAGGGGTGCCTGAGAGCACCTGCCCGGATAAACCCAGACAGGTGACAAGCCAAGGTCAGGAAGTGCCAACAAAAGATAAGGGCAGAGAAGTAGAGGAGACAGGTGGCCCAGGGCACTCGTCCTTTCAACAAATGTCCATTGAATGACAGCCACACATGAACCTTCAGCAATCCTTGGCTTTTATTATTTTTTTTTCCAGAAGGTAACACAAACTCTTTGTAAAAATATTAAAAGAAATTAAGAGTGTATCGAGTAAAAAAAAGTAGAAGTCTCCCCTCATTTTACATCTCAACCCCACTCTCCAGAGGTAATCATTGTTTTGGGGTTTTTTTTTCAAAGAGTCTCATTCTGTCGCCAGGCCGAAATGCAGCGGCTCGATCTTGGCTCACTGCAACCTCCACCTCTCGGGTTCAAGTGATTCTCCTGCCTCAGCCTCCCGAGTAGCTGGGATTACAGGCACGTACCACCATGTCCAACTAATTTTTGTATTTTTAGTAAAGATGGGGTTTCACCATGTTAGCCAGGCTTGTCTCGAACTCCTGACCTCAGGTGGTCCACCTGCCTCAGCCTCCCGAAGTGCTGGAATTATAAGCATGAGCCACTGTGCCCCGCCGATCATTGTTAACAGCTCAGTGTGTGGTCTTCTCAACTTTATGTGCATATATATCTACATATATACATAGATATACACTGTCTTTTAACCAGAACTTGAGATCTGAGTCTTTACTGTTCTGTAGCTGTTTTTCACTTAACACATTATCACATTTTACATGTCAGTACATTCGTGTCATTCTTTTGAACAGCTAAACAGTATTCCATAGTTTGAATATAATTAATGAAGCCTTCATGCTTCCTGTTTTTTACTCTTACATTGTGCAATGAACATCTTTGGACATATTCTTGCACACTGGTCTAAGTATTTATGCTGTAGCAGCTGGATCTCCTGCAGTTCACAGCACTGAATCATGAAATTGACAAACTAAAATGTTTAACAGGCCAGGCACTGTGGCTCATGCCTGTAATCCCAGCACTTTGGGAAGCTGAGGCGAGTGGATCACTTGAGGTCAGCAGTTTGAGACCAGCCTGGCCAACATGGGAAAACCCCTAAAAATGCAAAAAAATCAGCCAGGCATGGCGGTGTGCACCTGTAATCTCAGATACTTGGGAGGCTGAGGCAGGAGAATCACTTGAAGATGGGAGGCAGAGGTTGCAGTGAGCCTAGATCACACCACTGCACTCCAGCCTGGGCAACAGAACAAGGTGAGCGGATCACGAGGTCAAGAGATTGAAACCATCCTGGCTAACACAGTGAAACCCCATCTCTACTAAAAACACAAAAAATTAGTTGGGCGTGGTGGTGGCAAGCGTCTGTAGTCCAAGCTACTCGGGAGACTGAGGCAGGAGAATCACTTGAACCTGGGAGGCAGAGGTTGCTGTGAGCTGCGATCAAGCCACTGCACTCCAGCCTGGGCAACGGAGCAAGACTCTGTCTCAAAAAAAAACCAAAAAACATGTTTAACAGACACTGATCAACAGCCTCTGGAAATAGTTACAGCCCCAACCACAGTGCATAACTGTCTTGCAAACAGCAGTTTTGATTTGAGAAACAAATGAAATCTAAAAATATGCCATCCACACACTTGGCATGTAATTTTTAGGGGTTCAAAGGCCCCCTATCCTGAAGGCCACACCTGTGTAAGGCCCCCTTTACAGGAAGATTCTAATGAAAAGCTGTGATCGCATCTTTTCTTCCGAAACATCATCAGAACTCCTCAGGCAGGAGCGACTGCAGTGTGGGCTGCCTGTGACTCACGTGAATAGCTTAGCCAGGAGGAGAAAGATGGGAACAGCCTCACACAGCTCTGTGGCCAGGTGAACCTGACGATCTTCTTGTCTGTCTCCTGCAGGTGATTGCAAATAACTAACCAAAAGAAGTCCCTGGGACTATTTCAGACTTGGAAACATCACAGAAGGAAAATAGTATCATATAAAGTGATAATATGCAAATCACACCTTGATGAGAATTTTATTATCATTATTCGTTTAGCAATTCACCCTAGTATCCAGGGCCCTAAAAACCAGAAATGGGTCAGGTGCAATGGCTCAAACCTGTAATCCCTGCACTCTAAGAGGCTAAGGCAGGCAGATCGCTTAGGTCCAGGAGTTCAAGACCAGCCTGAGTAACACGGCATAACTCTGTCTGTACTAAAAGTACAAAAATTATCTGGGTGAGGTGGTGCACACCTGTAGTCCCAGCTACTCAGGAGGCTGAGGTGGGAGGATCACTTGGGCTCAGGAGACTGCAGTAAGCCAGGATTGCGTCATTGCACTCCAGCCTGCGTGACGGAGTGAGACCCTGTCTCCAAGAAGAAAAGTCCAAAAAACAAGAAATAAGCTGGCATAAGGATAGCTTAAAAGACCTCAGGGTGGGGCCTTCTGGGGAAGCCCAACGTGTCACTATTGCACAGCACCGTCATACTACAGTCGGGGTGTTTCGGCAAGCAAGGCACATGGGAGGCATGGTTGGGACTCAGGAGACCCAGGTTCCAGCCAGGTCTTTTCTCTGGATAACTGTTACCTTGGACAAGAGACCTAACCTCCCTGAGCACAAGGAGAACCTTGTTGCCTTCCTGGGATAGGATAGGGATCGAGTGAAATAAGACATGGAGAAATGGGGCTGGGTGCAATGATGCATGCCTGTAGTTAGAGCTACCTGGGAGGATCACTTAAGCCCAGGATTGGGCTGGGCAATACAGCAAGACTCCCCAAAAAACATGGGGAAATGTTTTTTTAAAAGCAGAAGTCTCTTTTATAAGGAAGAACAGAAAGTTGGAGCAAAACAAGGGAAGAAATAGGCAAAAGAGAGTCCATATTTGCCTAAGATTTATTTCTTAAGATTAATGCAATATAGGAAAAATTAACAATTTTTAAAACTTCATTTAGAATTCACAGATTACAGCTGTTCAGACTCCAGTAGGCCCCAGTTCACTGATCTATGAGATACTGGTTTGTGTGTAGCCAAAAACCCCTACAGATCAGTAGGTGCTGGGTGCCAGGTGAGGAAACTTTTATAGCCCAGGACATATTTGGCAACGCCTGAAGACATTTTTGTTTGGCACCACTCAGGGAGATATTGTTACTGGCATTGAGGTGAGGGATAGTGCTGAACATCCCACAGCACACAGGACAACCTCACAGCAAAGGATGACCTGGCCCCACATGTCAGTAGCACAGAGGTTAATCCCTGCTCTAAAGAGAACACAGCGATCACAGGACACAGTCACTAGCCCCAGACCAGCCACTGCTCAGGAGGCCATGTACAATCCGCAGCATTCATCTGTCCCTGTTCCTCCACTGTTCAGAACTTGTCGACAATCTGGAAGCTGCTAAGAGCCTATCTCACTGGCAGAGAAAGAGCAGACCCTGTGCCAGCTGCAAAGCCCTTGAGTTGCAGGAAAAGTCCAGGTCTCAGCCACTTTCAGGCCTAAGGCAGGAAGGCTTTGGAGTGCAAGATAAGGCAGGATGAAGGACTCTGGCCTTATGATGTTTTAAAAAAAAGTTTTTTCCGAAGGAAATTAAAGAAACCAGGCATCTGTTTATAAATCCCTTTCTCCGAAACAGCATTAGCGACCTGTAAGACAAGACCATGGAGAGGTCTGTGAGTTCAGTTCTCTGGACTGAAGGAGGAATTCAAGAGGGGCTGGGGGGAATATCCATTCAATCCACACCTTAAAAACAACTCAGGCTGGGCGCAATGGCTCACATCTGTAATCCCAGCACTTTGGGAGGCCAAGGTGGGCAAATCATGAGGTCAGGAGTTCGAGACCAGCCTAGCCAACATGATGAAACCCCGTATGTACTAAAAATACCAAAAATAAGCTGGGCATAGTGGCGGGAGCCTGTAATCCCAGCTACTCAGGAGGCTGAGGCAGAATTGCTTGAACTCGGGAGGTGGAGGTTGCAGTGAGCTGAGATCATGCCACTGCTCCAGCCCTGGTGAAAGAGTGAGACTCCACCTCAAAACAAAACAAAAGGGCTGGGCACAGGGCTCACTCTTGTAATCCCAGCACTTTGGGAGGCCAAGGCAGGTGGATCACGAGGTCAAGAGTTCAAGACCAGCCTGACCAATATGGCGAAACCCTGTCTCTACTAAAAATACAAAAATCAGCTGGATGAGGTGGTGCGGGCCTGTAGGCCCAAGTACACTGGAGGCTGAGGCAGGAGAATCGCTTGAACCTGGGAGGTGGAGGTTGCAGTGAGCTGAGATCATGCCACTGCACTCCAGCCTGGGTGACACAGCAAGACTCCATCTCAAAAAAAAAACAAAAAAACTCAAACGATAGCCTCTTTGAGCAGGGGGACTTAAAGAATAGGCACCTTGACTGTAACTTTTAAAAACTCAAAATTCAAAATTTCCAAACTCATAAAGTTCAGGTCAGACTGAAATTATCTGCAAGAAAAAAAATGAAGGGATCAGAACCAAGAGCTGAAAGCACTGCTTATTAGCACTGATTGTCCCCACCCTACACTGCAGGGCCCCAGGCTGTCTCTGAGACTCCCTTGCCCAAGGCCATGGCACCCAGTGGCTGGGAGCTATGCCAAGGGCCACCCAGAACCTACTTGTCTTCTCCTCCTACTGCTCAGCAAGGCACAGGGCCAGATCCTCCCATAGGAGCAAGGCGTGGCCCCAGCCCCACAGTGCCTCCCCATGACATGAATGCCTGAGCAGAGCAGGAGGGGCCCACACACGCTGCTTCCCCATGGCAGCCACAGGCTATGCAACCCTCGGAAGAGGCAACTGCTCTGAGTGGGGTTTCCTTGGAGTACTTCCACCCTCAGGCCACCGTTCCCTGTCTGTTTCCTCACTGGGGCCTCCTGACAAGGGGATACAGGAGGGGTTCACAATTCTTGAAGGTCAAGAGTAGAAGACTGTGTGATGGCCACAGGGTGTGGGGAGGGGCCCATGACCCACCTTCAGGGTCTGGACAGAGCCATCCCTCACTGGCACTGAGGACCAGCTCCATCAGTGGAGCAGCAGGTGTCAACCTGGGGACTTTGGAGGAGGCAGGGAAGGCAGCTCTTTGAATGAAGGGCAAATGTCACCACAGGCAGGAATGCCTCTCCTAAAGAGACATAAAAGCTCCGACTCTTGTGGCAAGCCAACGCTGAGAGGCAGAGTCTACTACCTTTTACCCTTGGTTTGGGCCTGCCCTGCTCACTCCCCAATCCCCAGCCCCAGAAACACGCTGCCCCTCAGCAGCCTCCCCTCTCCTTTGCAGAGGAAGGCAGCACTCACCCTGAGCAGCAGGGATTGCAGGTCTTCACAGTGAGCCCACTGCTCAAAGATGTCGTCCAGGGTCTCCACATACCAGGAACCGCTCTTGCGCTCCCTCCATGAGACAAAACCTTTGGAGGGAGAAGGGCTCAACACTGCTGGAAAGCCACCCCCGGCCAGGCACGCGGCTTGGGCGCCCTCCAGACCTTGACTCATGCACACCTCCAGCAGGAGCAGCCTGGTCCATGAGGCGCTGTCCTAATCGTGATCTTATTTCACCCTGGTGACCATCTCCTGACTCTGGCTATGATTCCCATTTTCCCAGCAAGGAAACCAAGGCTTAGAAAAGCCAAGTGACTCATCCAAGGGATAAGAAAGGATGGAAACTGCCAGGCACAGTGGCTCACACCTGTTATCCCAGCACTTTGGGAGGCTGAGGTGGGCAGATCACTTGAGGTCAGGAGAGTTCAAGACTAGCCTGGCCAACATGGTGAAACCCCGTCTCTACTAAAAATACAAAAATTAGCCAGGTGTGGTGGTGCACACCTGTAATCCCAGCTACACAGGAGGGTGAGGCAGGAGAATCATTGAACCGAGGAGGTGGAAGCTGCAGTGAGCCAAGATCATGCCACTGCACTCCAGTCTGGGTGACAGAGCAATACTCCATTTAAAAAAAAAAAAAAAGAAGGAAGGAAACTACCATCTGCTGCACCCATACATGCCAGGCACTGTGCTCAGTGCCGTGCCAGCCACCTTTAATCCCTATGGCAACCCCTGAGGCATAACTCCTATTCCCATGCTAAAGATACGAAGGCTGAGGCGGGGCAGGCAGAGGAGAGGTAAGTGAGCACAGGAATCCAAGGGTGCGGGCCTCCTTGCAGTGCACACCCTTGACCGCTCACCCTGAGCCAAGGCTCACAGAGAAGTAACTTGCTCAGGGTCACAGAGGGGCAAGAGACAGAACCAGAACTCATACCCAGGTCTTTTCTTTCACCACAGTTGCCTCTAGGGCAGATGGGAAGAACCCCTGGCTGCGAGGATGAGCCCTTCTGATATGCTCACCTGGGAAAGTAGAGTAGGACACAAAGATGTCACTGGGTGTGGGCAAACTAGATACAGCGTCCACCTGGTCAAAGGTCCACGCATCTTCCTGGAATGGGGTGGCATCTGACTCGGGGTTACTGCCAGGGGACTCCTCTTGAGGGGAAGTGGAGGCCACCTCAAACCCATGGTCTTTCTGCTCTGCAGGAAGCAGAAACAAACACCCCTCGTCATTGAAATACACAGACACAGATGGTTCAACATATGAAAGTCAGTGTAATATACTACCTTAACCACAGTGTGAAAGGAAAAGAAATCTTGGGACCCCAAACTCATTAAGCCAAACGGAAAAGTCAAGCTGGGAACTGCGTCGCGTAAACTTGCCTCCCCGTTTTGGTTCCTAAATGAGATGGCTACGAGATGAATAGCTACATACCTCCCTCATATGTTGCCCACAAGAAAATTCCTGGTGAGCTCGAAGATATTTACCCTAAGGCATGTCTGATAAAATTCATCATGGCAAGGCCGGGCACGGTGGCTCACGCCTGTAATTCCAGCACTTTGGGAGGCCGAGGCGGGTGGATCACAAGGTCAAGAGATCGAGACCATCCTGGACAACATGGTGAAACCCCGTCTCTACAAAAATACAAAAAAATTAGCTGGGCATGGTGGCGTGCGCCTGTAGTCCCAGCTACTCAGGAGGCTGAGGCAGGAGAATTGCTTGACCCCAGGAGGTGGAGGTTGCAGTGAGCCGAGGTCACGCCACCGCACTCCAGCCTGGCGCCTGGTGATGGAGTGAGACTCTGTCTCAAAAAAAAAAAAAAAATTCATCATGGCAATGTAAATTGATAGCTTATCCTTACAGAGCCATCACCCCTCTGCCCACCTGGCAGAAATGCATATCCAATTGTTCCCCTGCCCCATTTGTCTTTGTTATCTTATCTTCCCTTGCCCTACATTACCTCACGTAAAAATGCAAATTCACTGAGCCAGACAAAGGCATAAATGACTATTTTCCCCCTACCCTGCTCTTACATGAAAACTGTGTACTTCTCAATATCCCGCCCTTTCCCCTTTAAATTTGGAACCCTAAAAATCAGGTTCAGAGAAAGGCATCATAGACCTGTCTCCCAGGTATGCATCCTTAACTTTGGCAAAATAAACTTTCTAAAATGACTCAGACCTGTCTCAGATTTTTGGGGTCCATAAGAGAATGAAAAAAACCTTACATCATCTTAATTGATACAGAAAATGCATGAGACAAGATTCAACAACGTTTCATGATAAAAACAGTCAACAAACTCGGAATAGAAGGAAACTACCTCAACATAATGAAAGCCAGATATGAAAAACCCACAGCAAACACTATACTCAGTGGTGAAAGAATGAAACCTTTTCCTGTAAGATCAGGAAGAAGGAAAGAATTTCTGCTCTTGTCATTTCTATTCAAATAGAGCAAGGAGGCAAAAAAAGAAATAAAAGACATTCACATTGGAAAAAAAGAAGTAAAATTATCTCTACTCACAGATGGTATGATTTTATATGTAGAAAACCCTAAAGATTATACAAAACACTATTAGAACAAATAAAATTAGCAAAATAGCAGGATACAAAGCCATCCACAAAAAACCCCTGCATTTCTGTACACTAACAATGAAACATCAGAAAAAGAAATTACAAAAATGAGTCCATTGACAATAGCATCAAAAATAATAAAATAGAAATTAACTTAACCAAGATGAAAGACTGGTACGATGAAAAGTACAAAACATTGCTGACAGAAATTAAAGAAGGCTGGACACCATGGCTCATGCCTGTAATCCCAACACTTTAGGAGGCTGAGGCAGGAGGATCCCTTGAGCCCAGGAGTTCCAGACCAGCAAAACCTCATCTATAAACATAATTTAAAAAATTACGCCGGTGTGGTGGCATGTGCTTGTAGTCCCAGCAACTGGTGAGGTTGAGGTGGGAGAACCACTTGAGCCCAAGCAGTTGAGGCTGCAGTGAGCCATGATTGTACCACTGCACTCCAGCCTGGGCAACAGAGCAAAACAGACCCAGTCTCAAAAAAGAAAAAGAGCCAGGCACGGTGGCTCACATCTGTAATCCCAGCACTTTGGGAGGCCAAGGTGGGCAGATCACCTGAGGTCAGGAGTTCAAGACCAGCTGGCCAATATGGTAAAATCTGATCTGTACTAAAAATAGAGTATTAGACGGGTGTGGTGGTGCATGCCTATAATCCCAGCTACTTGGGAGGCTGAGGCAGGGGAATCGCTGGAAGCTGGAGGCAGAGAATATCGCTTGAACCTGGGAGGTGGAGGTTACAATGAGCCAAGATCACACTACTGCACTTCAGCCTGGGTGTCAGAGTGAGCCTCTGTCTTTAAAAAAAAAAAAACACACAGTATCTTCTGTTTTCAGAAGTTTAAAAAATAAAAAAAGACGGTATCAACAGAGTAGAAAGGTGAACTGCAGAATAAGAAGAAAAATTTGCAAATCATTTATCTGATAAAGGATTAATATTGAGATTAGAGGATTCATAAAACTCAACAACAAAAAAATCAAACATTCTGATTCAAAAATGGGCAAAGGAAGGGCCAGGCATAGTGGCTCACCCCTGTAATCCCAGCATTTTGGGAGGCTGAGGTGGGCAGATTGCCTGAGGTCAGGAGTTCAAGACCAGCCTGGCCAACATGGCAAAACCGAAACCACGTCTCTGCTAAAAATACAAAAAAAAATTAGCCAGGCATGGTGGTGCACACCTGTAATTCCAACTACTCAGGAGGCTGAGGCAAGAGAATTGCTTGACCTGGGAGGCAGAAGTTGCAATGAGCTGAGATCACACCACTGCACTCCAGGGAGACTCTGTCAGCCTGGGTGACTTTTTCAAAAAAAACGGGCAACAGACTTGTATAGACATTTCCCCAAGGAAGATATACAAATGGCCAATAGGCACATGAAAGAATGCTCAACATCACTAATCATCAGGGAAATGTAAATCAAAACCACAATGAGATACCACCTCCCACCCACTAGAATGGCTACTATCAAAAATATATATATCCTCAGACATCAGTTTGAAGTATAAAAAAAGAGAAAATATAGAAAATAGCAAGTGTTAGTGAAGCTGTAGAGAAACTAGAATCCTTATGCACTATTAGTGGGAAAGCAAAATGGTACAGCCACTGTGGAAAACAGTATGGTGGCTCCTCAAAACATTACAGAATCGAGGCCAGGTGCGGAGGCTCACGCCTGTAAGCCCAGCACTTAGGAGGCCAAGGCAGGTGGATCACGAGGTCAGAAGTTCAAAACCAGCCTGACTAACATGGCGAAACCCCTTCTCTACTAAAAATACAAAAAAAGTAGAGAGGCATAGTGGCACATGCCTGTAATCCCAGCTACTCAGGTGGCTGAGGCAGGAGAACCGCCTGAACCCAGGAGGCAGAGTTTGCAGTGAGCCGAGATCACACCATTGCACTCCAGCCTGGGCGACAGAACAAGACTCTATCTCAAAAATAAATAAATAAATAAATAAAATTACAGATAGAATCAATTACCATCCAATTCACAATTCCAATTCTGTGTATATACCCCCCCAAAGAATTGAAATCAGGTCCTCAAAAAGGTATTTCTATGCCCATGTTCGTAGCAGCATTATTCACAGTAGGCAGAACATGGAAGCAAACCAAGTGTCCATCAGTGGGTGCACGGATAAGCAAAATGTGGTATTATATCCATTACAATGGAATATTATGCAGCCTTAAAAAGGAAGGAAATTCTGACATATGCTACAATACAGACAAACCTTGAGGAAATTATGAGGTGAAATACGCTAGTCACAAAAGCACAAATGCAGTGCGATTCCACATATATGAGGTACTAAGTGTAGCCAAAATCATGAAAGCAGAAAGTAGAACAGTGGTTGCCAGAGGCTGCAGGGAGAAGGGAATGGGGAATCACTGTTTAATGGAAACAGAGTTTCGGTTTTGCAAGATGAAAAGAGACATGGAAATGAATGGTGGTGATGGCCACACAACAGTATGAGTAAGCTTAATACCACTGAACTTACCAGCCTGGCCAACATGGTAAGACCCCATCTCTTCTACGAATGCAAAATCAGCTGAGCGTAGTGGTGTGTGCCTATAAGCCCAGCTACTCGGGAGGCTGAGGAGAACTGCCTGAACCCAGGAGGCGGAGGCTGCAGTGAGCCAAGATCTAGTCATTGCACTCCAGCCTGGGCAAGAGTGAGATTCCGTCTCAAAAAAAAAAAAAAAAATTAAAATACCACTGAACTTAAATACTACTTAAAATGGTTAAGATGAGGCTCGGCACAGTGGCTCATGCCTGTAATCCTAGCACTTTGGGAGGCCAAGGTGGGCAGATCACCTGAGGTCAGAAATTCGAGACCAGTCTGGCCAACATGGTGAAACCCTGTCTCTACTAAAAATTTAAGATTTAGCTGGGCATGGTGGCACACACCTGTAATCCCAGCTATTTGGGAGGCTGAGGCAGGAGAATCACTTGAACCCAGGAGGCAGGTGTTGCAATGAGCCAAGATCATCCCACTGTACCCAGTCTGGGTGACGAGAGCAAGACTCCATTTAAAAAAAAAAATGGTTAAGATAGTAAATGGTTGCTTCAGCTAGAAGAGGAGAAAAAAAAAAAAACTAAACTAAAAAAAAGAAAGTAAAAAAAAAATAAGATAGTAGGCCGGGCGTGGTGGCTCATGCCTGTAATCCCAGCACATTGGGAGGCCGAGGCGGGTGGATCATGAAGTGAAGAGATGGAGACCATCCTGGTCAACATGGTGAAACCCCGTCTCTACTAAAAATACAAAAACTTAGCTGGGCACGGTGGCGCGTGCCTGTAATCCCAGCTACTCAGGAGGCTGAGGCAGGAGAATTGCCTGATCCCAGGAGGCGGAGGTTGCAGTGAGCCGAGATCACACCATTGCACTCCAGCCTGGGTAACAAGAGTGAAACTCCGTCTCAAAAAAAAAAAAAAAAAGATAGTAAATTGTATGTTATGTGTATTTTGCCACAATTTTTAAAAAGCCATATAAAAGTTGTCTTTTTTTAGAAATATAATTGAGGAAACTGTCCACTATATCAGTGTCCCCTTTAAGACAACCAAGGGAAGAAATGTATCTGGGGTCCCTATTCCTAACTTCTATCTTACAAATACCAGATATAGAACACCAGATTCCATAGATCTTGTAAGTGATCTTATTTCCAATGGCAGCTGGAAAGTGTAAAAAATGCACAGGTCACCTCTAGCAAGTAGATGTCACTATCCGATCATATGTAATTAGGTAACTGATACAGACAAGTTAAGGGTTTCCCCCCAGACAGAGGCTGACTGGGACTCTGACCTACCTCATTTTCGAGTCTACTATTACCAATGGCTGGGATTTTTTCCTATTTCTTTACATCTGCAAAGTTATTTTATCTCTACAATCAGTCATTGTATACCTTAAATTTTTAATTCACTTGTACATTTGAAAACTGCAGGCAACTGCCCCACATCATAGGATGTATTTTTGGAATCTAAACTTACTCTTCTTTTCTTCTCTCCTGGTGTTTCCTCTCTATTTTGTTCTAGTGTTATCATCTGTACTTCTTGAGCTACAGCAAATCCTTTTCTAGAATCGAGGGCGGCATCAGAAAAATACCAAATAGACACCAAGTGGTGGGTAATAAAATCCAGAGATGTTTACACCTTCTAATCCAGTAATATCCTAAGAAAACAATCCAAATGTAGCCAAAAGCTTTCTGTATAAAGACACCTGTGGTTGAATGAGCCAAAAATTAGGTATCACCTAAATGGCTAACATTAGGAAAATGGTTTAGGAAATTAGTGCATATCATGAAAACGGCCCATTATAAAGCCTTCTGAGCTAGTAATGATGAAGGCCATGGAGACATGGGGAACTGCTTGGGGGATCACGATAGATGAGAAAAGCAGACTGTGCTCGTAGGCTGGAATCCAAAAGGAAGAGAGAAAACTGAGACGGCTATATTAGCTTGTAACATTCTGAAGGATTTTTTTTTACGTTGCCATATTTTTTCTTTTCCGTTTTAAAATCCAGACTCCCCAAAAGCAGTGCCAAGCTTGGAAAACAGAGAGGTCATGGCAGGACTTGTGCCCCACATGGCTCAGCCACAGAGCCACTAAAGAGGCGACGCTGAGGGAGGTCTCCTGAGATGAGGCCTTCTGCAGTAGGGCTCATGGTGGGTGGGATAAGAGGGAGCACAGAGGGCTACTCAGGAGGGAAGGCAGCTAACAAGAGCTTTGGTTAAAATATATACATATATCTCCATATATATATTTAACCATATATATATATTTAACCAGAAAGAATTTTTTTTTTTTTTTTTTTTCTGATGGAGTCTTACTCTGTCACCCAGGCTGGAGTGCAGCGGCATGATCTCGGCTCACTGCAACCTCCACCTCCCAGGATCAAGCAATTCTTTTGCCTCAGCCTCCTGAGTAGCTGGGACTACGGTGCACCCTGCCACGTCTGGCTTGTTTTTTGTATTTTTTTAGTAGAGACAGGGTTTCACCATGTTGCCCAGGCTGGTGGCAAACTCAGCTCAGGCAATCAGCCTGCCTTGGCCTCCCAAAGTGCTGGGATTACAGGCATGAGCCACTGTACCCAGCCTAAAAGAATTTTTTAAAAAAATAGGCCAAAGTTGGAGTAGGAGTGGTCCAGAGGGTCCCCTGGGAAAACACTCCTGGAGAATGTGACTGTGACCCAGACCCTTATGCCATCAGGGAGAAGAGACAGCATGTACTGGCTGGTGGTGTCCTGGTGAGAGAGACAGCACCTGCTGGCTGCACCACAGGCATGTTTGCATGGCTGGATCGTGACTGAGGGAAGTCAGGTTTCACCCAGAGGAGCTGGGGGCCCATCCGGCAGGGACAGAGGTGGTTCTGGCAACCCCATAATAATACCACCAAAATCTGCTGACCTCTTAACCCACACAGCTAATGCTTAGAAATGATTGGTAATTGGCATTCTCCCAGCTAATGTGCAGGGGCACAGATTTCTACCCCGTATTTTTGTGCCTCTCAACTACCCTGCTTCTCATGGGGGCCCCCAGCCTGCAAAGGGGGGGGTCCCTTTGATCTGTGACAGCCATGCTTTTCTCTAGATTTTTCGGTTCATCACTTCTCGTTGTTTTCTTGGTAGAGATTTGGAATCTGCCCCAGGTGTCTGGGAATGACATGAAGCCACACAGGCAGGAGGCCTGAGCCCTGAGTGTGACTGTGCTGGGTCTGCCTGGCAGCCTGCAGGGGCAGAGAGGACACCTAGTGAGAGGAGACAGGGTAAGCAGAGAGGCTGAGAAGAGGCAACAGGATCAGAGCAGGGGGTGTAGGGGAAAGGGAAAGAGTGGGTCAGGTCAGGGCACTACTGCAGCTCCATTCCCATGTCATCTAGTTCCACAAACCTGATGTGAAGGCCTTGCCTGGGGAGTTCTTAGAGAGCCTCATTAACGCAAAACTCCCCAGAAGGTGGGACTCATTCCCCATAAGAATAAATGTTCAGTAGGAAGAGGAGATGTTCCCTCCACACAAATAATCCACAATCAATGCAACATATGGTCATTGTTTTCACCTTCTCAGCCTGATCTCTCAAATTCCAAAATTGACAGCTCAGCCTCAGAGAGGTGGCCTCTTGGCTGTCTATCACACTGACACTGCACACCAAAGTTAATGACTTTAAGGCACGTTTTTCAGCCCTGGTGCTGTCCCCTCTTAATGAAGGGGTGGATGACATGTTGGAGGGTTTTTAAATTCATATTTAAAAATTATTTTTAAATTATTACAATAATTTAAAATAAAAGTGAGTTACAAAATAACAATGCAAGGGTCCTCAAAACCCAGGGCAAATGTTCTGACACATGTAAACAGACACCCCGCCAGGCACTGGCAGAGATTGGGGACATTTCTATTTCTGCTCTCAGCTGACGTGGTGGCACCATGTGGTAACAGCATTAAGCACCAGGTCACGCAGCCTGCAGAGGCAAAGCAGGGACCCGACTCCCAAGGGGTATCTTAATCACTACAAGTCGGTTTTGAAATCTTGCTGTTTTCTGAGAGTTTTGTTTTAATGGTGGAAATCTACATTATGCCAAATTTGGCTCATAGAATTTTTTTTATATCGGTTTCTTTTTAAATATCATGGTTACTTTATTTCACAAATGTAATGGTTGTTTTTTTTTTGAGACAGAATCTCACTCTGTCACTCAGGCTGGAATGCAACCTCCGCCTCCCAGGTTCAGCTCACTGCAACCTCCGCCTCCCAGGTTCAAGCAATTCTCCTGCCTCAGCCTCCTGAGTAGCTGGGATTACAGGCATGCACCACCACACCCGGCTAATTTTCTTATTTTCATTTTTAGTAGAGACAGGGTTTCACCATGTTGGTCAGGCTGGTCTTGAACTCCTGACCTCGGGATCTGCCTGCCTTGGCCTCTCAAAGTGCTGGGATTACAGGCGTGAGCCACTGTGCCCAGCTGTTTTTGTAGGGTTTTTAAAAATTATTTCTTTGAGAGACAGGGTCTCGCTCTGTCATCCATGCTGGATGGCCTCAACCTCCAGAGCTCAAGTGATCTTCCTGCCTAAACCTCCCAAGTAGCTAGGACCACAGGAACACACCAGCATGCCTGGCTAATGTTTCAATTTTTTTTATTGAGATGGAGTTTCGCTCTTGTTACCCAGGCTGGAGTGCAATGGCGCGATCTCGGCTCACCGCAACCTCCGCCTCCTGGGTTCAGGAAATTCTCCTGCCTCAGCCTCCCAAGTAGCTGGGATTGATTACAGGCACGCACCACCATGCCCAGCTAATTTTTTGTATTGTTTTAGTAGAGACGGGGTTTCACCATGTTGACCAGGATGGTCTCGATCTCTTCACTTCGTGATCCACTCGCCTCAGCCTCCCAAAGTGCTGGGATTACAAGCGTAAGCCACCGCACCTGGCCTGTTTCAAAATTTTTTACAGAGACTGGTCTCAAGAGATCCTGGTCTCAAGATATCCTCCCACATCAGCCTCCCAAACTGTTGGGATTACAGGCATGAACCACCATAGATGCGTTTATATGGTTTTCCTTTAAATTCAAACAATTAGAATCCACATGCAATGCAACCAGACTGTGAGCTCTGTACCAGGCTGAGGGACTGGCTGTGGGGCAGCAGGCCAGGCCCTGCCCTCAGAGCTGACCAGGAAATAAGCCCATCTCAATACAATGGGACAGTGCTATGGCAGGGGAGGGACAAGGGCTGCAGGAGCACAAAGGCCAGCTAACTCTGACTTTGGCCAAGAAAGGGGTATTTAGGGAAGACCTTCTGGAGGCAGTGACAATAAATCATAACCAGAAGGATGGCTGATTAAGTCAGCCAGGGGCTAGGAACGGTGGCCCATGTCTATAATCCCAGTATTTTGGGAAGCAGAGGTGGGAGTATCACTTGAGCCCAACAGTTCAAGACTAGCCTGGGCAATATAGTGAGACCGCCATCTCTAAAATAAAGTAAGTAAAATGAATCTTTTTAAAAGAGTTAGCCAGGGAAGCAAGCAGAAGAGCAAGCAAGAGCCTGGACATCCTGCGAAGGCTGAGCCGTGCTAGGGACTCAGATCATGCCAGGCTAGGGGAGGTGCCAGGTCACCAAAGGCCTTAGAAGCCCTGCTACAAGTCCTTAAGAGTAACATCGGGCCGGGCACGGTGGCTCACGCCTATAATCCTAGCACTTTGGGAGGCCGAGGTGGGTGGATCACAAGGTCAAGAGATGGAGACCATCCTGGTCAACAAGGTGAAACCGCATCTCTACTAAAAATACAAAAATTAGCTGGGCATGGTGGTGCACACCTGTAGTCCCAGCTACTCAGGAGGCTGAGGCAAGAGAATTGCTTGAACCCAGAAGGCGGAGGTTGCGGTGAGCCAAGATTGTGCCATTGCACTCCAGCCTGGGTAACAAGAGCGAAACTCCATCTCAAAAAAAAAAAAAAGAGAAACATCGCAGATATGCATGTGACAAAGGCCCTCCCTGCTGCTGAGACTGGATGAGGTATGGGACGAGCACAAGACTGGCTAACTGTCCAGAAATCAGGTATGCCTGCTCAGCCTGCATTCCTAATGCCCTTGCCCTTTTTGTCTTTCATTTGACTCATAAGAGAAAGAGGGACTACAGGCTCCAGAGGAAGAGCTCTGCTGGGCCACATACTGTGGATAAGACAGGAGTCGAGGCAGAGAAGGATTTCTATAACCTCGAGAGTAGCAGCCTTCCCTGCTTCCTATTACTGCTATTCTGAGGGAACTGTGTTGGCAACAGCAGGGTGGGGGCTTCTTATGTGACACTCCAAAATGGGAGTTGGGGGTAGTCTGGGTCTTCAGTCATTAAAATGAACCAGTCACTGTACACATACCAACGAGAGCATTAAATAATATCAAAGTCAGCCAAGCACAATGGCTCATGCCTGTAATCCCAGCACTTTGGGAGGCCAAGGTGGGCAAATCACTTGCGCTCAGGAGTTCAAGACCAGCCTGGGCAAAATGGCCAATCCCTGTCTCTACAAAAAAATAGAAAAATTAGCCGAGCATGGTGGTGTGCACCTGTAGCCCAGATACTCAGGAGGCTGAGGTGGGAGAATCACCTGAGCTTGGGAGTGGGTTCTGTTACTCTCCCCATTTGCTGAGATGTCTAGAGATTAACTTACCCAGGGTTGTGTGGTCAGTAGCCGATCCAGGGTTTAATCAAGTGTTCTCAATCACGTGCGGTCAGGTCATGGACATGGGTCATGACAGTGTCTTAATATCGTTCATGTCAAATTATAAATTCCAGGAAACTGAAACTGATTTTCCCCTATCCGCAGCATCTAACACATGGCCTGGTATATACAGCTGGCGCTCGATAAACACTTACTGGATGAATGATGTGGCCAGAGGCCGTCCTTCCAGGCAGCCTCCACCCTACTCTGCCAACATGGAATAGGTATGGGGCAGCTGGATGTACACAGGAGAAACATACCACAGGTGCCCACATCACAGCTGGGCAAGCTGGACAGCACTATGGGATAACAGTGCCCACTTATCTGGCAGATCAGGCTAGAGGCAAGGAACTGATATACCTTCTCAATGTCCCAGTCCCCGGAGAGCCTAGGGCAGAGGGGATTCCCTGGGACAGAATTTCTAGTGCTCCCTGATATTCCTGTCATGACCCACAAACCAGGAACCCCGTATTTCTCTCTCTTCCCTCTTTTATAAGAAAATCAGGGGCTGAGCTCAGTGGCTCACACCTGTAATCCCAGCACTTTGGGAGCCCAAGGCGGGAGAATCACGAGGTCAAGAGATTACCAGCCAGGCTAACACGGTGAAATCCCATCTCTACTAAAAATATAAAAAGTTAGCTGGGCATGGTAGCACACACCTGTAGTCCCAGCTACTCAGGAGGCTAAGGCAGGAGAAGCGCTTGAACCCGGGAGGCAGAGGTTGCGATAAGCCAAGATCACACCACTGCACTCCAGCCTGGGCAACAGAGCGAGACTGTGTCTCAAAAAAAAAAAAAAAAAAAAAAGAAAAGAAAAAGAAAATCAGATAACACTGTAGTAGGAGTTGAGTGTAAAATCAGAGCATATAGCAAAACTAAAAATAATCCAAGTAATCCCTTAAAAAACAGACAAACAAAAAATAGAGACAGGGTCTCACTATGTTGCCTAGGTTGCTCTCAAACTCCTGGCTGAAGCAGTCCTCCTGCCTCAGCCTCCCAAAGTATTGGGATCACAGGCGTGAGACTGCACGCGGCCCAAGTAATCCTTAAACATTCTCCAAAACCCCACAACTACGCTTTTGGGAATTCCAATAATTAAATTCTTCATTTTCTTCTTGCAGTTCTTCTGTGGCCACCCTTTCTCTGGGATAGTGGAAATGGGGTCTAGTTGATGGAGGTCAGGGCAATGGTGACAAGAAAAATAAAAAGAGGTCTTTCCTCTCTCTTGGGCTTTGTTTCTTTTGCCAAGTCTCTGGAATTGAAGCTGCTGAAGTTACAGGAGCCCGTGACGCTACTGTGCCATGGAACAAAAGACTCTAACCTCTACAGAGCAGACGGAGTGGAGGCCCGCTCCAGCCAGGCAGGTGCTGCCACAAACAGACTATGTGTGGTACCCTCTGACTGCCTGGAGAGACCTCGTGAGCTCTGTGAGGGGCAGGCTGGAGAAAGAAACAGGTGGTGGCCCCCTCCCCGCCAGACCCACCCACAGGGAGGCTGAGGAGCTGCTTACCCCCACCACAGGCCTGGATGAAAAAGAGCTTGGGCTTCCCTCCCAGGCTGGGGCAGCTGGTCCCATTGAAGATGTTCACAATCTTCTCAACTGACACAGGGTATCCATCTGTGCCGTAGACAGCCCCTGGAAACTGCAGGTGGCTGGCCTAGAAGATCAAGAGCCTTGGTTACAACACCAAGAAGCTGGAGTAGGAATCCCACAGCCTATTCAGAGGTTTCATGGGGGCCGAGCATTCGGAAGGTCAAAGCCAGGGGCACTAGGCTAACTGAGACAGAGAAGTTGGTTCTGGAAAGACTGGTCAGCATCTGTTCCAGGGGTCTCATCTCAAACTCATATCCCTCTAGGGGCCAGACAGTATGCCTGGAGAGTGCTGCCTGCGGCCTCTAGACCACTGGCTCTCAAAGTTTGGCCCCTGGAGCAGCAGCATCAATATCACTTGGGAACTTATAAGAAATGAGATTCCCTGGCCCCACCCAGACCTCCTCATCAGCAGTCTGGTCCTCCAGGCCCCTCTGACTGAGGCAGCTCAACGCTAACAGGGGCTGCTTTAAATCAATTCAGCTCAAACCTCAAGTGCACGGAAATCACCTCAAGTTCATGGAAGTCATATTGGGCAGACTGGGAATGAAGAGGTCCAGGGTAGGGCCTAGGAGTCCACATTCCTCACGCGCTCTAGGGACCACATTATGAGAGAAAGGACCAAAGGGAAAGCCCTGCCCAGCCACAGGCTGGAGTTTTACTGGCTAAGGATTCCAGACAGGTCAGGCCAGACCTTTGCGGTTTGTCAAGAGAAACTAGGAATCATAATTTTTATGTGAAATTTGCCAGTTTTCAAAACACTGCACAGACCACAGGGGGACTCCAGGCCCAAGCTTGTAACTGTGATCTGTCCAACTCCTCAACTTAATAGATGAGGAAATCAAGGCCCGGGAAGGGGTAAGGGCTTAGCCACATGACAAACACATGAGTGAGTGTCCTGAGTCCCACCAGCAGCAAGGGGCCTGGAGCAATGCCTTGAAGGACAGGGACAGAAGCTGAGACATCATGTGTGCTGTGCCTGCATATGAACAAGCTCCAGGGGCAGGAGCTTTGTAAGCAGACCTGGTCTCTGCCCTCCCTCTCCCAGAGGGCTTCTCCCAGGAACAATGCCCTGCCCAGGAAGGTGCAGCCAACTCTTCAGAGGACCACATGTCTCCCAAGAAAACAGCAGGAGGTGGGCAGGGCCCCACAGCCCTTTTCCACAAAGCCAAGGGTGTTTTGGATACAGGAAGGGAGAGGGCCCCTGCATGGCTGCTTGGCACAGCTTTTACCCAATGCCTGCCCAAGGAGCAGAGGGAGGCTTCCTACCTGACAGCCGTGAGAAAGGATGACCACCACACAGCAGTCCAGAGCACCGTGGTCCCGCCGCGCCAGCTCCAGCAAAGTCAGCCTCATTTCCTACAAGAGAGGGCTGCAGGTGAGCCAGAAGCACCAACAGGTCTGGCTGCAGCCTGGGCCCTTCCTGACAATAAAAAGGCCCAGCCAGGCCAGGAACGGTGGCTCAGGGCTATAATCCCAGCACTTTGGGAGGCCGAGGTAGGGAGATCATTTGAGGTCAGGAGTTCAAGACCAACCTAGCCAACATGGTAAAATCCCATCTCTTCTAAAAAAAAAAAAAAATAGCTGGGTGTGGTGGCACATACCTGTAATCCTAGCTACTCTCAGGAGGCTGAGGCGGGAGAATTGCTTGAGCCTGAGAGGTGGAGTTTGCAGTGAGCCAAGATCTCGGCACTGCACTGCAGCCTGGGCGACAGAGTAGGGCTCTGTCTCAAAAACAAACAAAAAACAAAGGGCCCAGCCCCACTTTCTTGGCTTCCCAGGGCCGATACTGAAGTGCTGACAGTCCCAGCAGTCGTAACAGCCACTGTTTTCGGGGAGATGGTACTGTGCTTGGGCACTGTTCATTTAACCCCTAAAACAACCCAAGGAGGTAGGTACTGTTCTTGCTTTCCAAACAAGGAAAGTGAGGCACAGAAGGTCACACAGCAGGTGGCCAAGACAGCCAGTCCTCAAACTTGGACTTCTGTGTCTGAAGTTGAACCTGTAGCCACTGGGCCATCCTGCCTCCCACAGTCCTCCAGATGTAAGGGCTCGCCTGGGGAGTCAGCTGGCTTTTGGGGTTCCTCAAAAGACACTTCCCCACCCACGGCCCCCCACCCCGTCTCCCTCCACTGATAGTGAGTGTACCTTGGCAGTCAGATCACGCTTCACCTCCACCATGAAATGCAGCAAGGAGAAGCGGAGCTGCAACTTCCCACAGTCGATGTCGGAGCCGGTGCGGATGCTGAGCCTGGACTCGAAGCTGAAGTTCACATTGTTGATAATGAGGCAGTGGCCACAGGGCTCCGTGCTCATGACATAAGCCTGCCAGCACAGGGACTCACATAAACCCAGGCTCTCCCCGCACTCCCTAGGGGACAGTCTGGAGAAACGGGAAGAAAATGGGGTCTGCCCTCCCGCACAAGAAGTAGCAGGGTCTCTACCTGCATTCCAGGGCAGAAGAGAACCAACTACAGGACAGACAGGCAGGCACTAGAAGGTGAGTCCCCATCTCAGTATTCAGGGAAGGGAGCTGCTAATCTGGAAATCCAACAGCCTACAAGCATTCATCCCAAAGGACCTTCACAGTCACCCAGGCCAGGGCGCACTTGAGAACTCTGTCAGCAGAACTGTGCCCAGGCCACCAGGGGGCACCCAAGGCTGCTCCCTCCCCAGGCTTGGTCCCCTTGTAATTCTTTCTCGAGGCAGTCTGTTCTTTTGTAGACGGTACCTAATCACTACTTCTATTTATATCCTCATTTGCCTAACTTCTCTCTCCCCTAACAGACAGACAGCTTCTTCCCAGATGGCCCCACCACAGAGCACAGGAGCGACACAATAAATACTTGTGAATGAGAGAGTGGTGACTTGGTATGAATCCCAATGCCTGCCCCTCATCAGGTCTGCATCACTTCTGCCCCAAGCTTTGCAGATGAGGAAGAACAGGGTTGAACAATCTGCCCCTGCAGGTGCTAGGCCGGAGTCAGGGATGCTGGCCTAGGACTGGGTTCCCTGCGCTCCTGACACAGCTACAGGGAAGGACTTGAGGGATGGAAAGGGAACGGCCCAGAGCCCAAGCTCCGGGGCCCAAAACTCATGGAGACTCACCAAATCCGCATTTCCCCTCAAATTCTCAGGGGCACCTGGAGAGACAGAGAAAGAGGGAAACATGAATGCTGGGGTGCAGCAGAGGGAGGGGCATGGAGCTCTAGAGGACAGCCTCTCAAGAACAGAGCAGCAAGAACTTAGACACTCAGGCTATGCTTGGGGGAGAGCCAAATGGCAGAGCTGCCTTGGAGATCTGTTTAGAGTTTTCTTTTTGGAGACAGAGTCTCACTCTGTCACCCAAGCTGGAATGCAGTAGCGCAATCTCAGCTCAATGCAACGTACACCTCCTGGGTTCAAGCGATTCTCCTGCCTCAGCCTCCTGAGTAGCTGGAACGAAAGGCACGCACCACCACACCTGGCTAATTTTTGTATTTTTAGTAGAGATGGGGTTTACATCATATTGGTCAGGCTGGTCCTGAACTCCTGACCTCATGATCCACCCGCCTTGGCCTCCCAAAGTGCTGGGATTACAGGAATGAGCCACCACGTCCGGCCCTGTTTAAAGGTTTCTAACCAAGTTAAACACACACCTACCCACTGACTAGCAAGTCCACCCTCAAGTATATATCCAAGAGCAACAAGGGCACATGGGCACACAAGACTGGGCCAAAATGTTCCCTGAGACCTTACTCATAAAGCCCAACCTGGAAACAACCAAGCCAACAACAACTTGATAGATATACAAATTGTGATACAGCCATGACAGAGAACTTTGTACAGCCTAAAAAGGAAGAAGCTAGTGTCTAGTGTCTACCTAAACAAAAAAGGAATGAGCTACTGATGATACAGGAGATAGAATACTCAGGCAGATAGTGAGGGTGAAACAGTCCTCGGCAGAATTTCCCTCTTAACAAAAAGCAGCCCCCAAATAATTTCTTTTCTAACAAAGAGCAGCCTGAAAAATGGAGCTACAGACATAGATAAGCAAGCTGCAAGCTCATACGAGTGAATGCTCGCAGCTGTGCCAACAGAAAAGGGTTACTGGGGGCCAGGTATATTCAACAAGGAGGCTCCATCTTCCCTTTTCTTTGTCACCATGAGTACAGTGAAGAAGTAGGCAACAGGCCAGGCGGTGGCTCACACCTGTAATCCCAGCACTTTGGGTGGATCACGAGGTCAGGAGATCAAGACCATCCTAGCTGATATGGTGAAACCCCATCTCTACTAAAAATACAAAAAATTAGCCAGGTGTGATAGCATGTGCCTGCAGTCCCAGCTATTAGGGAGGCTGAAGCAGGGGAATCGCTTGAACCCAGGAGGCAGAGGTTGTAAAGGAGGTTGCCTCCTTTACAGGACAGTAATGCACTGCACTCCAGCCTGAATGACACAGTGAGACTCTTGTCTCAAAAAAAAAAAGACAGAGGGAAGAGAGAACATGCCAAAAAAATACAAACGCTAGCAGGCATGGTGGGCACGTGCCTGAAGTCCCAGCCTCTCAGGAGGCTGAGGTGGGAAAACTGCTTGAACTTGGGAGGCAGAGGTTGGAGGGAGCTGAGATCACACCACTGCACTCCAGCCTGGGCGACAGAGCAAGACCCTATCTCAAAAAATAATAATAAAGTAAAAAAAAAAATAAAGTGATCTTACTATTATTATTATTTACCCTTCAGAATTAAGGTCCTACGAGCAATATTCACAACAAACAGGCAATAAAACACCCTCCAAAAGAAGAGGAAGTTTCTAGTTCTGACTGTTGGTCCTAAATGACTCACGCTGACATTTCCCAGAACCAAATAACATCAAACGAACTTTGTATTCTGCCTGCCTCCTTCACAGGACAGTAATGCACGTGACCAATTCCAGAACCAGTCTTCTTCCTTACACTTCAAGTCAATGCAGCTTCACAGCCTCATCATGTTTGTCTGTTTCTCTGCATTAGGGGATTGTCCCAAAATCAGTTATTCAGCAAGTACTCAATAATGTTCACCATTACTATTATGAATATTCACTTTGATACCACGCAATGTCCACCAGGCACCCATGAAACAGCAAGTGCTAGAGCTCCACACGCTGCCATCGGAACAAAGGCCCAAATGATAACAACCCACGTGTCCATCAATAGGAAAATGGTTAAATAAACTGTGGATCATTCAGAATAGGAACTGCTGCCATCTAGAAATTAAAAAGAATGAACTACTGATATGCACAACAATATGAATGAATTTCACAGATAATATAATGATGAGTGAAAGAAGCCAGGCTCAAGAGTATATAAGACTAGATAAGATTTATATTGGGCTGGGCACAGTGGCTCACGCCTGTAATCCCAGCACTTTGGGAGGCTGAGGCGGGTGGATCACCTGAGGTCAGGCATTTGAGACCGGCCTGGCCAACATGGTGAAACCCCGTCCCTACTAAAAATACAAAAAAATTAGCTGGATATGGTGGCACGCACGTGTAATCCCAGGTACTTGGTAGGCTGAGGCTGGAGAATCTCCTGAACCTGAGAGGCAGAGGTTGCTGTGAGCCAAGAATGCACCATTGCACTACAACCTGGGTAGCTGAGCAAGACTCCATCTCAAAAAAAAAAAAAATTTATATTGAATTTCAAGGACAAGCAAAAGGGATCTCTGGCAATAGAGATCAGAATGGTGATTACCTTGGGAAAGGGGAAGTGGGAATAGATGGAAAGAGAGAGGAGAGTCTTACAGGACCCCGGAATGTTTTCATCTTGATGATCTGGAATGTTAGTTACCTGTGGATACACATAGGTAAAAATAACCCAACTGTATTCTTGGGATTTGTGCATTTTATTGGATGTAGTCATGTGACCTTTGGCAAAGTATTAATTTCCTTGAGCTTCCGTCAGTTTCTCCATCAACAAGGATGGGTCTAATGATACCTGCCTTGCAGGGTTGCTCTAAGGGAAGCAGGCAAGGGTAAATGCTTTGCAGATGTCTATTTGTATGGGGCAGACACAACTAAGGCCTTTCTCCTGCCCCCAGACATGGGGTAGTCCAAGCTACCCAGACCCAAAGGCCAATCCGAAACAACAGATGAACCTGGAAACACTGATCAAAACCTGGGACCTACTATCTCAAAGCCAGGGAAAAAACAAAAACAAAAAACCCGGGACATCCAAAACAGACCTCAACACCTGCTTTTCAAAGGAGGGGCTGCCAAGATTCAACCTCCTGAAGACCCTCCCCCCCATTCAGAAAGATAATACTGAAATTAAATTCTGAATCTCAGCCCACCCAGCTGTACTCAGAGTCAGTCCCCAACGACTACTTTGTCGTGCCCACCCATCCATCACTCTCTTGATACTTACCGCCATCACCCAATCCTCCAGAATCAAAGTCCACTGGTCTGTGATCCTTTGGTTTGGGAATCAAGAACTTTTCTGTTTGCCTATTAGTTTGCAGGATCGAAGCCAATGTGTACTGGCCTGTCTCCTCTAAGCAGGAGATGAACAAAGGAAGGGCTTGACTCCCTCGAGACTCTAGATCTGTGATCAGCTGCCTGGCCTGATCTCGCCGAGATCCACAGCCTGCCCGCTGTTTGGAAAGAAAGACAGATTACCCATGTACTTTTATATGGCTCTCACCTTGTCGTCCCATTTCCCAGCTACTGTACGTCTAAACAATCAGGCACGTGGGCAGAAATGGAGCCTGCAGGTACGCTGAGTGTGTGCCACTTACCAACCTTTGCTGATCTATTCATCATTTTGCGGGGCAAAATATGCCCAGCACTATGCAAAGTGCTGATAATGCTGCCATGGACAGTCACAGTCCTTAGGGAGCAAATTTCTAATGGGGAATGCAATCAGACAAATCAGCAATGACACAGCAAGAGACAAGTGCCCAGAGGGAAGGCACCTGGGGCTGGGGGGGTACAGTAACATCAGGAACTGAATAGTGAATTCAGAGTTTTATGATGGGGGAGGCAGACAGTGGCAAGGGACAAGGCCTTTGTGTGGCCAGGCCAAGAAATTCATCCTGAGACCTGTCAGATGCCACCAAAGAGTTTTTTCATTGTTTTTTTGTTTTTGTTTGTTTTTTTGAGACGGAGTCTCACTGTGTCACCCAGGCAGGAGTGTAGTGGCATAATCTTGGCTAACTGCAATCTCTACCTCCCAGGTTTAAGCGGTTCTCCCGCCTCAGCCTCCCAAGTAGTTGGGATTACAGGCATGCAGCACCATTCCTGGCTAATTTTTAAAATATTTTTAGTAGAGATATTTTTTAAATATTTTGAGTTTTCACCATGTAGCCCAGGTTGGTCTCGAACTCCTAACATCAAGTGATCCATCCACCTTGGCCTCCCGAAGTGCTGGGATTACAGGCATGAGCCACCGTGCCCAGCCATCTTTTTTTTTTTTTTTTTTTTTTTGAGAAAGAGTTTTGATCTGTCACCCAGGCTGGAATGTAGTGGCACCATCTCAGCTCACTGCAACCTCCATCTTTCAGGTACAAGTGATTCTCCCACATCAGCCTGTAGTCCCACAGTAGCTGGGACTACAGGCATGCGCCACCATGCCCAGCTAATTTTTGTATTTTTTGATAGAGATGGGGTTTCACTATGTTGGCCAGGCTTGTCTCAAAATCCTGACCTCATGTGATTCGCCAACCTCGGCCTCTCAAAGTGCTGGGATTACAGGTGTGAGCTACCATGCCCAGCCATGTAAGAGTTTTAAGAATGGAGTGACAGAGACAGATATACCTTTTCAAAAAATCTTCCTGAGGTCAGGGTGAAAAATGGAAAAGAGTGAGACACAGGAGGCAGCAAAGACAGTGCAGCTGGAATAGAGAGAAGTGAAAGAACAAAGACAAGACACAGAGGGAGGGGCCACAGGATGTGGGCACTGACTAGGCGACTATGAAGGCAGAGCAAGGATCAAGGTTGACAGACAGGCCAGGTTCAGTGGCTCATGCTTGCAACTCCAGCACTTTGGGAGGCTTAAGTAGGAGGATCACTTGAGCCCAGGAGTTTGAGACCAGACTGAGCAATGCAGCGGGGCCCTGTGTCTACAAAAAACAAAGATAATAGCCAGGTATGGTGCCACATGCCTGTGGTCCCAGCTACTCAGGAGGCTGAGACAGGAGGATGGCTCAAGCCCAGGAGGTCAAGGCTGCAGTGAGCTGTGATAACACCACTGCACTTCAGCCTGGGCGAAAGAGCAAGACCCTGTCTCAAAAAAATTAAAAAAAAAAAAAGTTGACAGGCGTCAGGATGGTGGGGTCAGTGACTAAGACAGATGGAAGATTCTGTTTATCTGCCACCTGTCCTCAGAGACCTAGCACTGGTTAAGTTCTCAGGATCCACAGAGATAAGATGGCACCGTGTCCTCAAACACCCTATAGCAGCACTGTCCACGAGAACTTTCTGTGATGATGGAAATATTCTTAGTGGACACTGTCCCATACGGTAACCGTGTATCACGTGACCATTGAGCCCTTGGGTAGTACAACTGAGGAACTGAATTTTTAACTTTACTTAATTACTTCAAATTTACCTTTAATTAACCACATGTGGCCAATGGCTACTGCTGTGAACAACACAGACCTGTAGTTGAGTCTCACTAGCAGAACAGTTGACTATGTGCAAACAGATGGTGGTGGTTGGATTTCTCTCCACATTTGCTGAGCACTCCAGGAGGTCAGCACTGTGTTAAATGCATTGTTTCACCTTTTTCTCCCTCAATAACCTTACAAAGTTAAATTTCAATTTCCCAACATTTTAGGGCAAAAAATTTCAGGGAAATTGAGTCACAGAAAGGGTTTTTGTTTGTTTGGTTCATCGAGTGTGGCTTTTTACAACCTGCCAATATGTAACAAAGCTAGGATGAGAGTCCAGATCCAACTGGCTCCAAAACCTGTGGGTTTTTCAGCCATACCAGGGTGGCAAAATCGCAACCCGTGGTTCCCACAAAGTTCTTTAAAAATTTCTGAATTTGTTGCTAACATTTTAAGCCAGGATTTAAGCCAGGGAATTTGACAGAGGAATCAAGATTTCCAACTTCTTTCTTAAAATGGGAAAGCTGGGTTGGGTGCAGTGGCTCATGCCTGTAATCCCAACACTGAGGCAGAAGAATCACTTGAGGCCAGGAGTTTGAGACCCATCTGGGCAACACAGTAAGACTCCCATCTGTACAAAAAAATAAAATTTAATTTAAGTTATCCGGGCATGGTGGCATGTGCCTAAAGTCCCAGCTACTCTAAAGGCTGAGGCAGGAAGACCACTTAAGCCCAGGAGGTCAAGGTGGCAGTGAGCCATGATCTCACCACTGTACTCCAGGCTGGGCAAGAATGAGACCCTGCCTCCGAAGAAGCAAAAGATCTGGCAATCCTGGGCCATGTGCGGATATGGCCATATCCAGCCTCAGCTGGAGACGGAGGGCAGTGCAAAGGCTATCCACTATGATGCCCATCCATCAAGCCTCCATGGGCATTGATCCCTGTGAACATCCCTGAAAACAACGACTGTGGCCTCAAACCACTTCTGTTCCCCAGTAGGGGTCACACAGAAGTCACAAGACTTCTTTTATTATTAATGAATAATTACTCATATGATACTCAATTATTATATTTATATTTTTTTGAGACAGAGTTTCGCTCTTGTTACCCAGGCTGGAGTGCAATGGCGCGATCTCGGCTCACTACAACCTCCGCCTCCTGGATTCAGGCAATTCTCCTCCCTCAGCCTCCTGAGTAGCTGGGATTACAGGCACGCACCACCATGCCCAACTAATTTTTTTTTGTATTTTTAGTAGAGACGGGGTTTCACCATGTTGACCAGGATGGTCTGGATCTCTTGACCTCATGATCCACCTGCCTCGGCCTCCCAAAGTGCTGGGATTACAGGCGTGAGCCACTGTGCCCGGCCGATACTCAATTATTTAAAGGCTCTTTCACTGGGACCAGGGCACCGGCTGGGGATATCCAGCCAGCCACTCACACCCACTGTACCTCATGGTGGGAAATAACTCCTTTGTCCTCACAGGCCTGTGGTGAGGGTCACGTGAGACAAAGATGGGAAAGTGATTTTAAAGAAAACCTTAGATGTTTGACTTTATTATTCTCCATTGCCTGCATCAGGTCCCCTATTTCCAAAACCTCTAAACAAAACATAAATTGAACACAGAAAGGGCTGGCCTAAGAGGGCAGGGCAGACAGCCTGAGGGTCTGTGCCTGGCTCTACACTGTTTCACATCCATTAACTCATTTAGTCCTCATTACAGTATTATTGTATTCCCATTTCACAGCCCAGGAAACTGTGGCTCAAAGAGAGTAAGTGACTGGCCCAAGAACAGGCTGCCAGGCAGTCTGATGCCAAAGCGGGTGGCCGAAACCTCTACGCTAGAAAAGCAAAAACACACACACCTCCTTCCTTGCAAGTGTTAAAAAGTAAATTAAAATGGAGACTAACCCTGAAGAATTCCTGAGCAGACAATACTAATCAGGCATCCTAAGTGACCTAAATATTGTTTAAACTGCAAAGATAAGCAAAATTTAACCTGGGTCATATCTGATAAATGCTTATGTTAGAGAGAAGCAAAACTTAACTCTAGTCAATCATAAGCAAGCATAAACAATGAAGACCTTTTTTTAAAAAGGCAATTTTGTAACTGCAAACCAATCAAATAATTCCTCTATTTTGCTTCCACGTTTTCCCAATAAATACTTGCCTCTGACGCTTTGCCACTGCAACACTAAACCTCTTTCAGTTTGATGCTCTCCAATTCAAGAACTGCTTCTTACTCAGTTTTCAAAATGTGTCTCACATTTTTCATTTACACAAGACACTCCTGCACTAACAGTGTACTCTGAGCATGGCGTGGAATCGCTTTAGCGAACACCCGACTAAGAAAGAGGTGTTTGGGATTCTTTGGCTCCGCTGGGGGACTAGAACCCACCCACAGGGAAAGCTGGGCTCCCACACAATGGCTCTTCGAGGGGTGTGGGGACCTGGTCGTGCAGCGCGGGAACAGGAGGCCGGGGGCGGGGGCGCACCTGGATGTCCTCGATCATGTGGGGCTTGAACAGCTCGCGGCTCAGCAAGGCGTCCCAGAGCTGGTCCACCCGCAGCTCCTCCACCAGCAGCCGCCGGTGCCGCTGCAGAAGCAGCCGGTCCGCTTCGTTCATGGCGAGCAGCCTCCACCGTCCGCTTCCGGGCCTCGGCAGCGCGCCCAGGTCCCTAGGACCCGCCCTTGCTTCCAGATCCCGCCCCCGCGTCACTGCCCCGGGTCAGTCTTAGCTACAACGCCTCAGGACGCATCTCCAAGGCCTCGCCCCGCCTCCAGGAGTCGCTCTTGCGTCACCGCCCCGGCCTTAGGACGCCCCTCCGGTCGTCGCCCCGCCCCCAAGGCGAAACGTCACTTCCCTACCCCGCCTCAGAACCCGCCCTCGCGTCACCGCCCCGCCTCCAGGACACATCTCCAAGGCCTCGCCCCGCCCCCAGGATTCGCTCTTGCGTCATCGCCCCGCCCCAGGATTCAACCCGCGCCCCAACCCTCCCCCAAGGTTAATCTTGTGCCACCTCCCCGCCCCCAAGGTCTAGCCTCGCGCTACCGCCCCGCCTCCAAGAATCAACCCCTCCACTTACCCCACCCTCAGAATCGTCCTTGCGTCACTGCCCAGCCTCAGGCTCCAGCTCGCATCCCCACCCCTTCCCCAAAGTCAATCACGTCCCCAAGATCCATCCTTCCGTCACCGCCCCGTCCCGAGGCGGCACTTCCGCGCCTCGCCCCGCCCCCAGGGCCCAGCCCAGCCCCCGCGTCACCGCCCCCTCCGGGCGCAGGTGCCCCTTTGCAATTGTGGCACCAGTTCCTGGTCCACGGCGGGCCCCTCGCCAGAATTCACTACGGCCCCGCTTTTACAGAGGTTCGAAAGGAGTTGTCAGACTTCTAGCAAAAAGGAAACCATTTGTGGAGCCATGGTCTGTCCCGCCCCATTCAACCTCCTCCTGGGCATGGCTTCCCCTTAGCCTCCTCCTCCACCCCAAATAAAACCATAAGCTCCCCCCCTCAACCCTGTGCCCACATCGCAGATGGCTGTTCCAAACTCGAGTGTCTGATCCGACCAAGCCCACTTTACACAATCTTCCTTTCCCTCTTCCCTCCCTCCCACCCTAACACCTCTCACACAGAAAAAAAAAAGCTGGCAGTAATCTAGTCCTCTAACCTCCCATCGTTTTGAACAGTTCATTTTCACATTTCAAAAATAATCGTTTCTGTTTAGTGGGCATTTGCTAAGTCCCAGGCATCGTGCTAACCACTTTTCAAGCTTATCTCATTTCTCCCTAACTACAATCCTGCCAAGAAAGTATTCCCGCCCCCCGCCTTCCGCCAATTTTACAGATGTAGAGACCCTAGGGTTCAGGGAAACGGATGTTTAAGGTCATATGAGTAGTAGTGGCCGAGGTGGACAGGATTGAAACCCGAATCTGACTTTATAGGCCATACTCGAAGAATCTAAGAGTCTTAGAATATAATCGCTTGAACTGCAACACCTCAGCCCCATTTATTCACTTATTCTACGAATATTTATTGAGCCTGTAGTCAAACACTGAGAACATGGAGGTGAATAAAACAAAATCTCTGCTCTTAGAGTTTACATTCCAGTAGGAGGATCAGATATAAATAAATAAGAGACCGTAGAAATAAATGAAAGACATAGTATGTTAGATAGTGATAAATGCAAAGAGAAAAAAAAAACAGGGTAGGGAGATATGAAAGTGCTTTATATCCCCAAGGGATCTAACTCACTGGCTCAAAGTTTCTCTCACTCACCTGTGACATTTCCCCCCCCCCCACCTCCTTTCCCTGTGCTTAAGACAGAGACTGGAACATCCTTGGGTGGAGCTCACTTTTTAGTAAACGCGATTAGGAGTCCTGGATTCTCTCAAAAAAAGATAAACAAAAATAGAAGGAATCCTGGATTCTAGGCCTCGGGAAAATCCCTGCCCCGCTCTGGACCCCAGTCTCTCTATCAATATATGGAAGAGTTGGAAAGTTGAAAAATCCCTAAGGTCCTTCCAATCTGACGCTCTAGGATTCTATGAATAGGGTTAAAGAGAGCAGGGACAAAAGATTGCGTCCCCCTCCTAGCAACTGTTGCTAGACGAGGGCCACCTCCCGGCAGGAGCGGAAACGCCTTCCTGGATCGGGGAGGTCCTTCTGGCATCCCATGATGCATAGTGACTTCGCCTCGCTAGGAGGCACGTTTTGGCCTCTTTGGTTCACGATGAAGCCTTTGGCTACAACCGAAGAGCGCGCCTCGTTCCTGTAGCAACCGCACCAGGTCCACGCGCAGACGGCGAGTGGCAAGGTTCAAAATAAATTCGCCAAGTAGAAGCCCTCGACCTGTTCAGTCCTCGCGTTCGGTGCGACGGACCTTTAAGCGTCACGTGACTCCCCTTCGGGCTCGTCCCCGCCTCTTTCCCCTCCCCAGGCCCGGGCGAGAGCCGGTTTGGACGGGAAGCTCCCGGCCCGGCGAACTAACTGGAGCACGGACGCTGCAGCCGGTTGGGCCGGTGCCCTTTCCCGGTAACTCCTTCCAGGCGTGACGCGCGGAGCCGCGAACGCGGCGGGGCCAGGCCGACTCAGGGATTTCCCGTCAGTTCCTTCTCGTTTCCAGTCACTGCTGGGCCCGGGGGGAGCCGGGAGCCAACAGGGCCCGGCTCTCAGCTCTCGGCGGGCGGCGGGGGAGGGGGCTGTCACCTGCAGGGTTGCGACCTCCGGCAGGAGCGCGAGGCGGGGCTTAGACCTGGAGCTTGTCTCTGGGAGCCTCTGCCTGGTCCTGGAGATGCTGCCCAGAGGGCTGGCAGCCTACCTGTTGGGCAGGTGTTTGCTCAACCGAGGTCGGCGCCGTCTATCTCTCTTGTCAGCGAAAAAAACTTCACAGACCGCCCCCTCTTGGGCCCTCTAACTGGAAGGAACTGACATTGTTAAGTAAGGCAGCGATCGTACTGCATGGTAGAAATAATAGCAGTAACGACCATTTATAACTGTTGACTTTGGGCTCAGTAAACCCTTTACATGCGTTTAGTCCCACTTACCCCCTGATGATGCTTCAAGGTAATAGTATTCGTTCCCATTTTATGAATAAGGACGCTGATGCTTAATAAGTTTAAATAATTTGCCCAAGGTCATAAAGTAGTGGAGAACAGATCCGAGTCTTCAACCCATATGCTTAACCAGTAGCTACATCGCCTTCACGTGTTTTGTAGGACATAATAGGTTGCCTTAACAAAGAAGAAACTGGTTTGTTTTAGGATGTTATTCGGCATGTATGCAATTTTAAACGTTGATTATCAGATTAGTAATTTTGTGAGGACTCCCAGGCATCATTAAACTTGGACTTACCGTAATCCACCACTGTTACAGCCTTGCCCCTCTTGACTAAGGTGTCATATTAGACACTCAAACCTTAAAACTGTATTAACTTATGAGAAGTCAAGATAAATGTGTTCCTTGAAAAAATTGTATGGTATAACAACGATCATAATTGTGGGGTATTGATGTCTACAATTCCAGCACTACCCTGCTCATTAACCAGCCAGGATGATTTCCAAAATTCACAATGAATTCAGTCACTATACTCACCAGAGATGGAGCTTAAAACTTTTAAAGACCACCCGTGTTATTTGTTCTTTGCCACTAATTCATTACATGGAAAACTAATTTTTTTCTGGCCACTTTTTCTCCTCTGAGGTTTCCATTAAGAATGACCGTATTGGCTGGGCACGGTGGTTCACACCTGTAATCCCAGCACTTTGAGAGGCTGAGGTAGGTGGATCACCTGAGGTCAGGAGTTCAAAACCAGCCTGGCCAACATGGTAAAACCCAGTCTCTACTAAAAATACAAAAAGTTAGCCAAGCATAGTGGTGCATGCCTGTAATCCCAGCTACTTGGGAGGCTGAGGCAGGAGAATTGCTTGAGTAGGTTGCAGTGAGCTGAGATCACACCATTGCACTCCAGCCTGGGCAACAAGAGTGAAACTCTATCTCAAAAAAAAAAAAAAAAAGATCATATTGCTAATGATTAAAGAGCAGCTTCTCATTTTCTTGTTTGAATGAATATGGTGAGAAAGGATAGAATTGAGGCGTACTGTGCTTTACACAGTTTTTTGAGAGTGTTTCACCTCCGTTTGTACTTACTTAATGCCCAAGAATGGCACAACTATCTCATTTTGTAGTTTCGCACATGGTAAATCTTATAGTTTCATGAGTTTAACATGTACTCAGTTAAGTATTCTTACACCATTTATTTTGCTTAAACTCTTTTTATCAGAATAAATGAGATCATGTATTTGAGAGGTAGTCACCCTGATTATCCTATTTAGGTTTTCCCACATTCATGTATTATTATTTATGCATCCCATTCATTTTTAGTCATTTCTAAAGCTTTTTGAGTCCAAGTGTTCTGGAGAGTTGCTATTCTTATTGCTCATCTTTTCATCTGTAATGATTCTTATTCGTGACATTCAAAAGTAGTAGTGAGATTTTTTTTTTATTTTAAGATATAGTTAAACAGCTTGACACTTTTCCTGCAAAATACCTTTTGTTTTTTTTTGTTTTTCGTCTATATATGTTATACCTTTACCTAAAAAGCAAGACTGTCCAGGTTTCTGCCACTGAAACTCATTGCCTCTTCAATCATTTCAGCTCTGGAAAGGAAGAGAAATGGAAGTGAGAAAGTTGAGCATTTCCTGGCAGTTCTTGATAGTTCTGGTTCTGATCCTGCAAATTCTGTCTGCGTTGGATTTTGACCCATACAGAGTCCTAGGGGTCAGCCGAACAGCCAGTCAGGCTGATATTAAAAAGGCTTATAAGAAGCTCGCCCGGGAATGGTAGGTGAATCAAAGAAATAGAGATTTAACGTAAATTAAGCAGTCTTAGCAGGGGAATGAAGTCTAAATTATGACTGGCTTTTATGTGTCTCTGTTTCTGTGCTCAGTATATATATCTGTCTAAAATATTTTATGCAGGAGAGCTAATGTTCATGTACTATAATTGTTAGCAATAAGATCCAAAGCCTGTGTTTACTCTGAAACTCCCTTTTAGGAATACTTTGGCTTAAAGAATTGCTTTAGATACTGTTAATATATTTAATGTTAAAATAAGAAGAAGCTTTAATTTAAAAAAATGTGTATATATATGGAGTCAATACTGGATATCCTACCATTCCCATGATATGTTATTTATAAAGTAACTTTATGAGCATAATTGCTAAACAAGAACACTATACAATCCTATTTTCTAAATTATTAATTTCTACACTTTGAAAAAAAGTTTAGAATAAGAGCCTTTTGCCTTCAAAAAAAAAAAATTCAGAAACCAAGTACAGTTGTCCTTTGATATCCATGAGGTCTTGGTTCCAGGACCCTCCAGGGATACCCAAGTCCAGGGATCCTCAAGTCCCTATATAAAATAGCATAGTATTTGCATATAATCTATGCACGTCTTCTCGTATGCTTTAGATCATCTCTAGATTACTTATAATACCTAATACAATGTAAATATTATGCAGTTAGTTGTTATTCTGTTATTGTTCAAGGAATAATGACAAGAAAAATGTACATGTTCAGTACAGATGCGATTGTTTTTAAATATGTTTGAATATTTCAGAATAGAAAATGTTCTATTTTAGTTGATTGCATCCATGAATGTGGAACCAGCAGATATAGCGAGCTGACTATATATTACTTAAAAAACTTGGCCTGGCATGGTGGCTCATGCCTGTAATCCCAGCATTTTGGGAGGCTAAGGTGGAAGAATTGTTTGAGCCCAGGAGTTCGAGGCCAGCCTGGGCAACAAAGTGAGACCCCATCTCTGTAGGGGAAATAAAAGCCCAGAGGTTCGAGGCTGCAGTGAGCCATGATCGCATCACTGCACTCCAGCCCAGGCAACAGAATGAAACACGTCTGAAAAAAAAATCTTACAGAAAATTGTAATTTTACCTGTAGTTATCGGGATAGGAATTAGCAGGGTTGTAAAAATCTAAAACTTTGGGCAAATGTCATCAATTTCTTCCACCAATGCCTTGGCTGTGCCAAAGAAGCAGAAGTGTTGGATTATATAGCTGGAGGGGGGAGCAGCAGAAGGAGGAGTGGATGGAAAGGACACAGGTGTCTCTAAGCTGGGTGTACCAACCATGAGCAATGGAAGAAAGTTTGGGACAGGTACCACCACACCTACCACATGCTAACCTCCTGGTTCTGTGCTTTTTGCCTCATTTAAACCTTATAATTGGCCTATGAAGGAGGATATCAATGTCTCTCTCTTTTTTGTTTTTGTTTTTTTGAGACGAAGTCTCCCTCTGTTGCGCAGGCTGGCTAGAGTACAGTGACATGATCTTGGCTCACTGTAACCTCCGCCTGCTGAGTTCAAGTGATTCTCCTGATTCAGCCTCCTGGGTAATTGGGACTACAGGCATACACTACCACACCCAGCTAATTTTTGTATTTTTAGTGGAGGCAGGATTTTGCCATATTGGTCTTGAACTCCTGACCTCAAATGATCTGTCCACCTCAGCCTCCCAAAGTGCTGGGATTACAGGCATGAGCCATCGTACCTGGCCAGTGCCTCTGTTTTATAGATGAAAAGATGGAGGCCTACAGTTGGTAAATCTTTGGTGCCTCTGGGTTCTGTAGTTTGACCCTCTGCATCAGTAGTTTATTGCTTTACTGTTTTTAATTATTTACACATCTAGGCATGAGTAAGGGTGAGTGGGCCAATGGTTGGCCAAGGAGGCGCTGAATGAGAGTAGGAAGTTATACAGGAGCAAAACTGCCACATTCAGGTGATGTGTGATGGTCTGCGTGCATGACTGTGCCTGCCACTGTTCTGCTTCAGTGAACAGGTGTATTTTAGCATTAAACTGCTTGAAATAAAGGTAAAGATCATTTAAAATATAATTTTTAAATAAATATTTTAGACCGTATTCCATGAGGAATCCAGAATTGGGTGCTAAAAAAACAATCTCTAATTATACATGACCTCCTTCCAGGGACTCTTTATACCAAGGTTATGTTCTGCATCACTTCCGACTCTTGCCTCTTTATGTTTAAAGCAAAATATGTAAATCTGCAGTTAATTCATAAGGTAACAACATTCTTTTGGACAGGGTATAGCCTTTGACAATATTTTAAGAACACAAATGATAGCTTGCTTATGTGGGACCTATTAAAATGTATAGCTTTGACTTTTCTGTCTTCCAGAGCTGAAAAAGGTATATGATATTAATTAAATGAGTCATATTCTCTTTTTTAATTTGACTCTCTAGGAGTAATTCATCACCATACAAATATATTGAGCGTGTCATCCAGTAATAGTCCAAAATTTTACTTTAGGTTTTAAATTTTGCTGTACTATTACTTTCTGCTGTACTGGCTATGACAATGTATCACTTGGAATAGTTAAACTTTTGTTTACTAATGGCTTGATATACACTGAAAATAGCAGCGTTTCCAGTTTAACTTTTCAGAATGAACTATAGCAGGGGAAAATGGTTACTTGTTGAACTGGATCTGGAGCCTGCCTCCTATACATTTTACTAAGTGTTTCTTAGACTGCTTAAGAATTTTCCTTTGCTCGGTAAAACCATTTGACATTACTTTTTCCCTAGGAAAACTATGTTTCCCTCCCAGTAATTTTTATCATAGGTAATTTTTGTTTGTTATCCACATTAGCAGAAGAAATAACTCCTCCCCCACCCCCCACAAAGAATAGCAGATTGGTGTGATATGGTTATGTAGTAAACTGAACAGTAAATTAATTTGTCTAATTCTTTGCTGTATTTCTCTCTCTCTCTCTCTCTCTCTCTCTCTCTCTCTCTCTCTCTCTCTTTCTCTCTCTCTTTTGAGATGGAGTCCTGCTCTGTCACCCAGACTGGAGTGCAGCGGGGAGGTCTCAACTCACTGCAACCTCCAACTCCTGGTCTCAAGCAATTCTCCTGTCTCAGTCTTCCCAGTAGCTGGGATTACAGGCACCCACCACTAAACCCGGCTAATTTTTTGCATTTTTAGTAGAGATGGGGTTTCACCATGTTGGCCAGCTGGTCTTGTACTCCTGACCTCATGATCCGCCCACCTCAGCCTCCCAAAATGCTGGGATTACAGGCGTGAGCCACGGCGCCCAGCATGCAGCATGCTGTGTTACTTTCTCTTTGTTTTTATTCCTTTCAAAAGGTAACTAGAGAGCCAGTAGATAACCATGTGCAATATTTCCTCTACTTTGACTTTTAAAGATTGGGTATTATATTGCAGTTCATGAAATAATTTCATATTTACTGAAAATAGCACTGGACAATACTTTCCTAGGGCTGATTTTTTTTTTTTTTTAATGTTTTCAACCTTGTGGGATCTTCCACGATTAGGAAAGTATTCCATACGAGCTGAAAGTGTGGTTTCCTCCCTATTCCTCAACCTTGGCCTCCTGTTTCAGGATCTGTGTTTTCTAACCCAGCTGCCCTCAAGACTCTCTCTCTTTGGTTCATTCTCCTTAAAAGTCCCTTCCTGCCCTTCTTCTACAGAGTTCTATATGTCAAATCTGCATTCGTATGATTGCATAATTTTGATCTTCGCAGCTGTCAGCCTGTTTGAATACTGAAAACACTTTTGCTTTGTTTTTTGTTGTTGTTGTCATCCAGAAATGCTTTGGAACCTCCATCTCGTTTCCTTAAGTCATGCTGTTTTCATTATGCCTCGCCGAGATTTTTCCCTCCTGCTAATACTTATAGCAAGGATTAAACGGTTAAGGAAGGAATGATTTTTAAACTCAACAGTCAGTAATCTGGAGTTTCCTTATTTGTAAAGAAATCAGAATATGTGGCATAATTCATTCAAACATATTCCTGCTAGAATAAATTTATCAAGTTGTAGATTTTTTTTTATTCCAATGTACTTGGTGTATCCTTAGTAGCCGTTTGCTTCCCAGTGAGTTGTTTTTCTTTCCAGAACCTCTGTCAGAGGAAATTTACTAGAAGTTACCGGAAGTTATTATGTGAAGAATACTATCATACAAAGTCTCTTAAAGTTAACACTGAAAAATCAATCTGTATAAAACACTGATTTAGATCTTAGGGGCTTTCAAGGAAGTAAACCTAGCCCTTACTTTCCAGAACTTTAAAATCTCCAAAGCTGGCCGGGTGTGGTAGCTCACACCTGTAATCCCAGCACTTTGGGAGGCCAAGGCAGGATGATGGCACGAGTCCAGGAATTTGAGATCAGCCTGGACAACATGGCAAAAAATGTTAAATATGTGGCCTTGAGGTCGAGTGCAGTGACTCACACCTGTATTTCCAGCACTTTGGAAGGTCGTGGCAGGTGGATCATTTGAGGTCAGGTGTTTGAGACCAGCCCAGCCGACATGATGAATCCCCATCTCTGCTAAAAATACAAAAAGTAGCCGGGTGGTAGTGGCACCGGCCTGTAATTGCAGCTACTTGGAAGGCTGGGGCAGGAGAATCAGTTGAACCTGGAAGGTGGAGGTTGCAGTGAGCCAAGATGGTACCACTGCACTCCAGTCTGGACAACAGAGTGAGACCCAGTCTCAAAAAAAAAAAATAATTATGTGGCCTTGAAATTCTTATCCAGGTAAAAGGCAATCGTTGGCAGAATGAAATAACCACGATAATAATGAAAAATATTCTAATTTGAAAGTCAGGCATGAATGCAGTTTCAAACCCGATTGTTACTAAACAAATTCAGTCTATCCTAAAAGCTGTTTCTTATGTCAGTATGTATTAGCAGAAGAAACAATAGCATTCTAGCATCCCAATATCATTCTAGCATTGGGATGAAATGTTGCCATCCTGGGAAAAGACATGGGTTCTTATGAATAAGTGATTTAACCTTGAGCCAGCTGTAGCAGTGTTTGGGAGCAGTGTACGTACATGCACCATATCCCACCTTTCCTCTGTGAAATGCTGCAGTACTATCTGGTGCTTTGAAAACATGCCCCACTGGAATGTTTTGGGAAAAGATTGCCTATTTCAAAATTTCATTGATTATAGTCATGTAAAGCTACTGATTGCCTCTATCATTTACTTTAAGAAACTTTCCTAACAAAATACCCCTCCATTTGCCTCTGTAATAACTGTGTGGATAAGGATGTTAAATGACTATGCATAAAAAGTTAACTCTGTTCTCACTGCCTGCCCTTTTGTGTTTCAGGCATCCTGACAAAAACAAAGATCCGGGAGCAGAAGACAAGTTCATTCAAATCAGTAAGGCTTACGAGGTATTGTGTCCAGCTTTGTTGGGGTTTTTTTTGTTTTTTGATTTTTGTTTTTGAGATGGAGTCTCACTCTGTCACCCAGGCTAGAGTGCAGTGACACCATCTCAGCCCACTGCAAGCTCCGCCTCCCAGGTTCAAGCAATTCTTCTGCCTCAGCCTCCCAAGTAGCTGGGGTTACAGGCACCTACCACCACACTTAGCTAATTTTTGTATTTTTAGTAGAGAGGGGGTTTTACCATGTTGGCCAGACTGGTCTCCAACTCCTGACCTCAGGTGATCCACCTGCCTTAGCCTCCCAAAGTGCTGGGATTACAGGTATGAGCCACCGCACCTGGCCTTCACGTCCAACTTTGTGATGCATCCATTAGCTCTTATAAAATATGCCTTAGGAAGTGATGAGTTTCATAAAGTTCTCAGAAAGGTCATGTTCCCCATGCCCTTGACCCAATTTCTAGATTGTAATAAAGAGAACACATTTGGGCACATCCTATATATTGAAACAAGTGCCTGAACACTTCAGCTCTTGGAAAAGCTGTTCTATTTTAAAGGCTTTAACTAGAATTGTAGAATTATCCTGAATATGTCTGTATATGTCTTTATTGCCTTCTTAAAAATTTACATTAAATAATTACATACCAATTTGCCTGTATTTAGTAAAGTGGCACAAGGTGCCAGGCACGGTGGCACATGCCTATAGTCCCAGCTACTAGGGAGGCTGAGGCTAAAGGATTGCTTGAGTTCAGGAGTTTTGGGCTGTAGTGCACTATGCTGATCCGGTGTCTGTACTAAGTTCGGCATCATTATGGTGACCTCCTGGGAGCTGGGGACCACCAGGTTGCCTAAGGAGGAATGAACTGGCCCAGGTGGGAAACGGAGCAGGTCAGAACTCCCAGGCTCATCAGTAGTGGGATCTCGCCTGTGAATAGCCACTGCACTCCAGCCTGGGCAACATAGTGAGACCCCATCTCTAAAAATAAAAAATAAAGTGGCTCAAGGTAACAAATACATTTAAACACAAGATTTTCAATCATTTTCCGACATGTTGTGTTAAGTAGGTTGGTTCAGAATATGCATAAAGGAGAAGTCAGTGACTTCCTGATTTGTGTAGGGAATGCCCTTCAACAGACAGTGCTTAGCTCATAGAAATGACACATCATCATCCTAAAACAGATTCCTGGATTTTAGACCTCAGAGTTATTTCTAAGTAAAACAAAGTCAACTAACATACAAAGCACTAAACTATAGCTACTTTTTTGGTGTTCATAGCTTTTCTTATCTTGGTTTGAATTAGTCCAACTCATCGGGTATGACCAGCTCAGTTTTCTTGTGATTGAGCCCTGGTGATCAACATTATGTTTTATTTGTTTTGCTGAAGTGGTTTGGTTTTTTTGTTTTTTGTTTTTTTTTTTTTTGAGATGGAGTTTCGTTTCACTCTTGTTACCCAGGCTGGAGTGCAATGGCACAATCTCGGTTCACTGCAACCTCTGCCTCCTGGGTTCAGGCAGTTCTCCTGCCTCAGCCTCCTGAGTAGTTGGGATTACAAGCATGCGCCACTATGCCCAGCTAATTTTTTTGTATTTTTAGTAGAGAAAGGGTTTCACCATGTTGACCAGGATGGTCTCAATCTCTTGACCTCGTGATCCACCCACCTCAGCCTCCCAAAGTGCTGGGATTACAGGCTTGAGCCACTGCGCCTGGCCTTTGCTGAAATGTTTCTTTTGTGGTAGTTTGAAATCTTTAATGCCAAGATGAGCGTAACTATTTAAACTGAACAATTTCAGTCTTGAATGTTCTTTAATATTTCTATAGGGAAAGAAAAGTTTCTCATTCTTTTGAATGACTGCATTTAGAATATCTAATCGGCTGGATGCAGTGGCGCCCTGTAATACCAGCACCTGGGGAGGCTGAGGCATGCAAATTGCTTAAGCTCAGTAATTCAAGACCAGCCTAGGCAACATGACGAAACTTCATCTCCACAAAAATACAAAAATTAGCCTGGTGTGGTGGCTTGTGCTGGTGGCCCCAGCTACTCAGGAAGCTGAGGTGGAAGGTTGAGCCTGGGAGGTGGAGGCTGCAGAGAGCTATGATCACGCCACTTCACTCCAACCTGGGTGACAAAGCAAGACCCTGTCTCAAAAAGAAAAAGAATATCTATGTAATAATCTCTTTTCTATTTTCTTAAGAGACAGTCTGTCTCTGTCACCCAGGCTGGAGTACAGTGATGTAATCACAGCTCATTTGCAGCCTTGAACTCCTGGGCTCAAGCAATCTTCCACCCACCTCACCCTCCCAAGTAGCTACAACTATAGGCACCTATCACTACGCCTGGCCAACTTTTTTTTTCTTTTTGTAGCAACGTCTTGCTTTGTGGCCCAGGCTGGTCCTGAAACTCCTGGCCTCAAGGGATCCTCCAAACCTCGGCCTCTCATAATCATGTCATCTCCAACGCTGGCCGGGTATGATAGCTCACACCTGTAATCCCAGCACTTTGGGAGGCCAAGGCAGGATGATGGCACGAGTCCAGGAATTTGAGATCAGCCTGGACAACATGGCAAAAAATGTCAAATATGTGGCAATGCAAAAAATGTTAAATTTTTGCATTTATTTTCTTCCTGTGTCTTCTAAGCTGCTTATAGAAAAGTCTTTTGGGTGAACCTTTTTGCCTGTTGTTTAGATTTCTTTTTTCCTTCCTTTATAGATTCTTTCAAATGAAGAAAAGAGATCAAATTATGATCAATATGGAGACGCTGGAGAGAACCAGGGCTACCAGAAGCAGCAACAGCAGCGAGAGTATCGCTTCCGCCATTTCCATGAAAATTTTTATTTTGATGAATCCTTTTTTCACTTCCCTTTTAATTCTGAACGGCGGGACTCAATTGATGAAAAGTATTTGTTGCACTTTTCACATTATGTGAATGAAGTGGTTCCAGATAGCTTCAAGAAACCCTACCTCATAAAGATCACCTCGGATTGGTGCTTTAGCTGTATTCATATCGAGCCTGTGTGGAAAGAAGTTGTTCAAGAACTGGAGGAATTGGGTAAGATAATTTTATTTATTACATAGATGACTTTTTTTTTTTTTTTTTTTAAGGTGGAGTCTTTCTCTGTTGCCCACGCTGGAGTGCAGTAGTGCCATCTCGGCTCATTGCAACCTCCACCTCCCAGGTTCAAACGATTCTTCTGCCTCAACCTCCCAAGTAGCTGGGATTACAGGCGCCCACCATCACACCCAGCTAATTTTTGTACTTTTAGTAGAGACAGGGTTTCGCTATGTTGGCCAGGCTGGTTTTGAACTCCTGACTTCAAGTGATCCGCCTGCTTCGGCTTTCCAAAGTGCTGGAATTACAGGCATCAGCCACTGCATCCAGCCCCAAAGCAAATTTTTTTTAAACACCTGTTTTATAAACCTTTTTGAAAGTATTTCTTGGCCGGGCGCGGTGGCTCACGCCTATAATCCCAGCACTTTGGGAGGCCAAGGCGGGTGGATCACGAGGTCAAGAGATCGAGACCATCCTGGTCAACAAGGTGAAACCCTGTCTCTACTAAAAATACAAAAATTAGCTGGGCATGGTGGCGTGTGCCTGTAGTCCCAGTTACTCGGGAGACTGAGGCAGGAGAATTGCTTGAACCCAGGAGGTAGAGATTGCGGTGAGCCGAGATCATGCCATTGTACTCCAGTCTGGGTAACAACAGCGAAACTCCGTCTCAAAAAAAAAAAAAAGGGAAGTCTTTCTTAACTGTTTTAGTCTGCTTTCTTCAACTCAGTGACACCTAAGCACCAATTTTTTTTTACTTATTGTGAGCTGAGCCTTGAAGAGGGTTGGAAGTCAGCTGAGGAATCTTCAGTCACACAATCTGGTAAAAACTAGTGTGCAAAAGCATCCAATGTTTATAGAGAAGTGTACTGTGGAGGAGGGCCCCGAATTAGCACCACCCCTGACCTTGAGCTCACCATTTAGTTAAAGAGAAAATATATACACAGAGAACACGGACCTCACGTTTGCAAGTACGGAATAATGTAGTGCTGAAGGAGTAGACAAAAGATGACAAGACATTCATTTTGTGTTTTCTAACACCTTGCCCATGAATCGGATATTTTCATTTTAAACTTTTTTCTCAGGCAACTTTCATGTGCCAATTACTGTAGTCGACAACAAAGGATATATAATAATAATCCTTTTTGTTGAACATTTCCGTTCCCTTGCATTGTGGTAAATGCTTTCTGTGCATTATCTTTGTCCCCAAAGCAACTCAATGAAGGAGAGACTGTTATTATCCCTATTTTACAGATGAGGAAGCTAAGGCATTGAAGGTTAAGGAACTAATTCATTAAGCATCATTGTTGGATATGGACCCAGGAATCTGACCTTCAGTTTCCTCATCCATAAAGATAGCAATGCTTACCGTGCAGAGTGGTTGTGAGTATGAAAAGTATGATGTATATAAAGCTGTAGGCGTGATACCCAACATACAAAGCACTCAAGAGTAGTCATCCCTCCCTTAGGCCTTTGTCTTATAGCCACTTGGCCTCACTAGGTGATGTCTCTTCTGTCTTTACAAATGACCAAATCTCCCAGTGTATGTGCCTGCTATGTTCTTTTTCTTTCTTCTGCTCAGATAATTCTCTGTGCACTTCCATTTATTGAGATTGTTCCACAGTTATTTTTAATGGCTGTGATGTGATATAATAGTATACTGTACTTGGCTCTACAGAAGAGCCAAGAATCCAGTTTGGATTCTTGTTCTGCAATTTTGTCAGCTGTGCAACCTGAGATAAGTCACTTTACCTCTCTGAATCCTCTCCCTGTATCTGGAGAATGAAGGAAATGGGCTGTATAATGCCCAAGGTTCCTCCTTTTCTACCATTGAGAGACTGCAGCAGTCACGGTCCGGTAGCCTACAGATAGCTTCATTTAGTCTGCTCAGCAATTTTAAAGCATTAAGTTTGGGATCCCTCCATTTACTCAGCATTTCATTTTAGGAATATACTAATTAAGCACACAAGAGCACAAAGCCGTGTGTACAAAGATGTACAAGGTTGCGTGTCAACATTCCTCATAATGTTAAGAATTAGGCCAAAAGCAACTTTTGATATTGTGCTTTCTGATAAGAAATCTATGTATATTTTGGTGTTCATTCCCAGTTCCTGGCACAGATCTCTTAAAACCCTTGAGATTGCCTGATGAGTAGGGGTGGGCTAAGAGAATCTTTTGCTCTCACATTTGCTCTTGACTCTGATTCCTGACATGGAGCTCCTGATCCTTGGAATTTCCTGCACGATGGAAACTGGTCACCAGAAAGGCCAAACCATGATTAGAAGTTTGAAAGTTTTCACCCTCATCTTTCAGAAAGAGGAGAGGAGCTAGAGACTGAGTTAATAATTGATCATGCCTACATGATGAAGCCTTCACAAAAATCCCTGAACTCTGGCTCAGTTTCCTGGGGGGTGGGCCCAGCCTACTCTACCTCCCCTCAGCTGAGCCTATAGTAGAGGGGCCAGGCATCCTCCCCCATGGGAGAGGCATTTGAGTAAGGAGCCTTGCCTCTGGTGTCCTAGCTGCACATTTGCTGGGCAAAAAAATGAACGTATATATGTGTATATTTAATCCTTGAACTACTGGGTTTGAGAGTTCCCAGGTGGCTGAATACATGGAGATGCCCAGAGGGTGACAGGCCCTGAGAGGGCAGGGCTGCTCCCCCACTTCCATATGCCTTGCTGTGTGCCTCTTTTTCTTCTGGCTGATCAGCTCCTTTGTAATAGCCCTTATACCTAATGGGTAAACATAAGGATTGTTCCCCTGAGTTTTGTGAGCAGCTCTAGCAAATTAATTGAACCCAAGGAGGGACTCATGGGACCCTTTGATTTATAGCCAGTTGGTCAAAAGTACAGAACACAACTTGGGACTTTGGCGTCTAAAGTGGGAGCAGCCTTTGTGGGACTGAACCCTTAACCTGCAGGACCTGATGCTATCTCTGGGTAGATAGTGTAAGAATTGAGTTGATACCCATTTAATGTCTACTGGAGGGTTTATGGGGAACCCCTAACCCCAAAGCATCAAGTGTCAGAAGTGAGGCGTTGAGCTGGGCATAGTGGCATGTGCCTGGAATCCCAGCTACTTGGGTGGCTGAGGCAGGAAGATTGCCTGAGCCCAGGAGTTTGACACCAGCCTGGGCGACATAGTGAGACTCCGTCTCCAGAATGTCAGGGAAAGTAGTGTGTTGAGTGTGAGTAGGAAAAACAGTTTGGTTTTTCCTCTCTCATAACTTCAATGTGCAACAATAAAGAATGGGTTAAATAGATTGATGGCCCAGTGAATTTCTACTATGTGCCAGGCTCTGGTCTGGTGTTGCGGATACACAGGGATCCCTGCCTTCCTGAGGCTTACATTCTAGAAGGGGAGACAGACAATAAACAATTGACAAAAGGAAAGTGGGTGGGACATTAGAAGATGGTAAACACTGTGGGGAAAAAAGTGAAAGTGAGCAGGTTGTATGTGTGGCCCGAGTGGGCCATATTTTAAATGTGGTGCCAAGGTAGGCCCCATTCAGAAGGACTTGAAGTTGGTGAAGAAGTCAGCTATGCAGAAGTAGGGTAGATACACACTTCAGGCTGAAGGAACAGCCAGTGCCAAGGCCCTGAGGCAGGAACATCCATGTCCTCAGATCACAGCAAAGACACTGGGGACTGGGGCAGGCTGATGGAGGAGTGGGAGAAGAAAGGGCATGGGGAACCAGGGCCAAACACAAAGGGTCTTGTTGGCCTCTGTGAGGATTGTGCATTTTATTCCAACTGAAATGGGTCTTTGCAGGGTTTGGGCAGAGGAGTGATGTGATCCATTTTTATGTTTTAGAAGGAACAGCCTGGCTGCTATGTTAAGAACAGACTGTCAGGAGACATGGAGAAATAGGGGGAGAGCATTTAGGATGTTATTACAGCAACAGAGGCAGGAGAGATAATGATGACTCAGAGCAGGGCATATAATGAAAGTGATGAAAAACAGTTGAATTCCGGACATATTCTGAAAAGAAAACCAACAAGACTTGCTGACAGATTGGATGTGGGGTGCGACTGATAAGAGAAGCCGAAGATGGTTTTTGGCCCGAGTAACTGGAAGGATGGAGCCATCATCAACTGAAATGGCAAAGGTGTGGGTAGGACAGGTCTGTGGGAGGGGATCAGGGGTTCGTTTTTGGAAATGTTAAGCCAAAAAATCTAGTAGACAGCCAAAAGAAAATGTACATTTATTGGCCTTTAATACTGAATGTGTCTCCAGTGGTAGCAGTAACTGGCCCTCCAAATATATTGGTTGAATGAAAGAACAAGAAAAGCTATTCAAGTATTAAGTGAAATAAGTATCAGATTGCCCCAGTTTATGTATATGTGTACCCACACATACACACATAAACACACACGCATTTGTAACTTTTCTTACATATTGCCAGATTGCTCTGCAGAAAAACTGAGTCAATCTAGAATTCCAGCAGTGAAAGAATGCCAGATAGTCTATTAGGAAAGACATCCTCTATGGGGTCAGGATTTCAATTTCACACCAAAAAATTACTTAGTGCTTTTTCCAGCTGCGATGGAGACATAAAAAGCCTTCACTTGTATCTTCCATTCTTTTCAGGTGTAGGAATTGGCGTGGTCCATGCTGGGTATGAGAGACGCCTGGCCCATCACCTGGGGGCACACAGCACACCCTCTATCCTAGGAATCATTAATGGGAAAATCTCCTTCTTCCACAATGCAGTTGTCCGTGAGAATCTGCGACAATTTGTAGAAAGTCTACTTCCAGGGAACTTGGTGGAAAAAGTAAGTATCTGTCAAGGAAAACATGGCTAAGAAGTGGTTTAAGAGGCAGGTAGGACTGCTAATTGCCTCATTATGAGGAAGGCAAGACATATTAATTAATTACTCAAACTAAATCATTTAAGTGAAGTCTGTAGGAGACTAAAAATTGAAATAGATGAAGTACAGAGACTAAAAGAATTAATTCCTCTTAATGACCATCTTGCCTATCTTACACTGCCATGGGAATTTGAGCCTAAAATGACAGTGCCTATTTTCTAAACAAAAAAATTAGATCACATGGTAGAAAGTATCAGGGATTTCTTTTCTTTTCTTTTTTTTTTTTTTGAGATGGAGTGTTGCTGTTGTTGCCCAGGCTGGAGTGCAGTGTCACGATCTTGGCTCACTGCAACCTCCATCTCCTGGGTTCAAGTGATTCTCCTGCCTCAGCCTCCGAGTATTTGGAATTAGTGGCACCTGCCACCACGCCTGGCTGATTTTTATTCTTAGTAGAGATGGGATTTCGCCATGTGGGCCAAGCTAGTCTTGAACTCCTGACCTCAGGTGATCCACCCACCTTGGCCTCCAAAAGTGCTGGGATTACAGGCATGAGCCACCACGCCCAGCCAATAATTAGAGATTTCTTTCCAGCTCATAAATTTGTTCATGTGAAGATATTTGTCTTTATTTAAATTTAATTCTATTTGGTTATATGTTCAACGATCATATCTATGGAAAATGCCAGATTCCGTGAAATCAAATATTATTTTTGAAACTTTAGAAACTTACAATGATAATAATATGAATGAATTTCACAAAGAAAAGGTTGAAGTAAAGGAGCCAAAGTTTACATTAGTTTATAATTTCCATATTTAGGTACCTAATATTATTTTTTTCAATATCTTAAGTTACGGATCAAAGTAATTAGGAAAGGACTGTCATTTTGCTTTAAGTAATTCATTCTTTTAACAATACCAGGGAGAGTAAACATAAAAAATTTTCATCATATTTCTACATGTACTATCCCTAGACTGTCCTGCTGGGATCATTATCTATAGAAGAAATACTTGTTGGAGTTAACTGTCAGAGAGTATTGTAGGCTCCTAAAATGATAATAGATTATCTGATGGATCCTCAAACATTTATGTAAAATATCTGTTCTGTGCTAGATTAAGTAGCCACTTCTAGCAGCTCCCAAGCTCATGGGTGATTATTTCCAGTATGTTGGAGTCGATCCTAATGAGCTGGGAAAGGCTTCCTGGCAGAAGTCACCCTTGGACTGGGTTTGCCAGGTGAGGACAGAGAAGGAGGGAGTGAGTTGCAGGCAGGCAGAAATCTGGAGACATGAAGTAGCCTCCTTTGCAGCAGAGGAGGGGGTTAGAAAGGTTATCAGGAATCTCCCTGTGAGGGCCTCAGAGAACCTCCATGCCCCTTGAAGGAGCTTGAGCCTTGGACTGCAGGTGATGAGCCATTGTAGGGTTTTGAGCAGAGGAGTGAAATAATCAAATGTGGGTTTTATATGAATCATTCTAGGTGCAGTATGGAAAGAAACTTTTTTTAGCGACTATGAAAAATTTCTAACTAGAAAATTTATTCATGTTTTTAATTTGTTCTCTCAGTAGGAATATTTTAAGATGTCAATGGGGGAAAGTAGCAATTCAGATAACAATAAATGAAATTATATAATGTATAGAGGGGGTGGATTGTCTTATTTTTATTTAAACCATTTAAAAAGAGCAAGCTGGCCTAGAGTAGAGTCTCATGCCTGTAATCCTAGCATTTTGGGAGTTTGAGGTGTGAGGATCACTTGAGTCCAGAAGTTCAAGACCAGCCTGGGCAACATACTGAGACCTGATCTCTACAAAAAATACAAAAGTTAGCCGGGCATGGTGCCATGTGCCTGTAGTCCCGACTATTCAGGAGGCGAGGTGGGAGGATCACTTGACCTTGGGAGGTTTGGGAGGTTGAAGGTGCAATGAGCCGTGATCATGCCATTGCCCTCTAGCCTGGGCAACAGAACAAGACCCTGTCTCAGAAAAAAAGGGATGGGGGCAAGCTGGGAGACTGAGGCGGGATAGACAGATAGATGATTGGTTGATAGGTAGGTGGGTAGATAGGTAGGTATTAAAAGGGCCAGTGTTGCATTATCTTCTGCTGGATAGTAGATTGAGAGGTATACGCTATAATTAAGCAAGAACCCACCCTGGAAGTTCAATTTTTATAATATGGTCAGTAATTGTTTCAGACAGGATTATGATTTTAGTCCATAAGAATTAAAATATGAAATTAATATCTCCATTCTTTTAATAGTTTTAGCCAAATGAAGACAAAAAGATTAGTTGTCTGCATTTTTATTTTTTGAAGTCTTTTATACCTACTTGATTTATTTTCTCCTCACTGGAGTATGATACAATTGTTAAATATTGAGACTAACATTCTATTTTCAATTTAAGGTTACAAATAAAAATTATGTCAGATTCCTCTCTGGCTGGCAACAAGAGAATAAGCCTCATGTCCTTCTGTTTGACCAAATGCCTGTTGTGCCACTGTTATACAAGGTACTGTCTGTGCTGGGGTAATGGTTTCGTTTCATTTCGTTTCTTTTTTCTTTTATCTTCTTTTCCTTTCCTTTCCTTTTTTTTTTTAGCAGAAATTATAATCTCTGAGTTGGAACTTATAGCTTATTTGTCTTTATTGTAAGAAACAGTTTATTCCATGAGAAATGTTTGAAGACCAGAAATTTTACTTAACCATCATACATTGAGCACCTACTGATGCCAGTTACTGTGCTAGTGCTTTCTATGCACACATCATTTAATCCTCAGAAGAACCCAGTGATAGAGATATTATAGAGATATTATCGCTGTTTCTTTCTTTTTTTTTTTTTTTTTTTTGAGAACGAGTCTCACTTAGTTGCCCATGCTGGAGGGCAGTGTCATGATCTAGGCTCACTGAAACGTTTGCCTCCCTGGTTCAAGCGATTCTTTCACCTCTGCCTTGCGAGTAGCTGGGACTACAGGCCAACGCCACCCCACCCGGCTAATTTTTTTATTTTAGTAGAGATGGGCTTTCACCATGTTGACCAGGCTGATCTCAAACTCCTGACCTCAAGTGATCTGCCTGCCTTGGCCTCCCATAGTGCTGGGATTAAAGGCATGAGCCACCATGCCTGGCCACTATCCCTGTTTCATAGACCAAGATCATAAAGGTTAGAGTGGTCATGTAATCTACCCAAGTTCTCACTACAGCGTGGTGAATGCAACTGACTTCAGACCTGCCCTCTGAATGATGCCCCCACTACACTCCCAGCCTACCTATACTGCCCACTACCTCTCATGTCACTGTGACATGAGATGGGAGAGGAAGGTATCCTAATCAGTGGTATGGTCACTGCCAATCTTACCTCATTACAGTACAGGTAATCCCAAACCTGTGCCTCCTGACCAGTACATATTTGAAGAAGATGATTATTTTGCCTTAACTATGAAAAAAAAGAAAGGGTTGTTTGTATTTACCTGTTGGTACAGTTTTTGCACATGGAGCACCATAGAATTCCTGGAAGTATACATGGATATGGAAGACCTAGTAGAGCTGTATAAGTTGGCGTGCATCTCTCATGTGATGTGAAAAAGCCTTACTTGGTTTGTAATTTACATATTTGCTGTAGTTTTATTTTCTTCCTCTCTATTATGCCCTAACAGTTGACTGCTTTTGCATACAAAGATTATTTATCATTTGGATATGTACATGTGGGTTTCAGAGGGACAGAAGAGATGACGAGGCAGTACAACATCAACGTCTACGCCCCCACTCTCTTGATCTTTAAAGAACATATAAACAAGCCTGCCGATGTTATCCAGGTATGTGAGGGTCACCTTGCTTTAAGATTTTCTTTGCATTTGATCCCAAAATTTTGTGTAAATAAACAGCAAAATTGAACAAAGTGGGTGAAGGAAAGGATCAATTAGTTTTTAATCTCTTCCTACAGATACACAAAATTTTTAAGTGAATTTTTTTTCTCTAACTTGGTATTATTTGCTTTAAACATTTTTAATTGTAAAAATTTAAATTTTTTAACCCCTTTAAAGGGCTTCTGTTAGAAAACCAACAATCTTTCCAAAATGAATTTAAAAGTTAAATGCAAAACAATAATGAAAAGGAGTAAGAAGAAACCACAAACTAACAGAGAATGTACAGATGAATACTTATCTGATCTTAAGGTGGGAAAGTGTTAAAAAGCATTGGGAAAAAAAGGTTGGAAAATCTTAATAATTTGACTCTAAGTTGTATATTTTTATGTAAATACTTTAAAATGTAAAGTTAAAAAATGGGAAATAACAAATATTAAAATATTGATATTTTTAATTTCTAAAGAGCTTTTAATCAAGAAAATCAACACAAAATTCTGAGAAGAGATTCAAATGACTAGTAAACGTTTTTTAAAATTAAATCTCAGGCCGGGCTCGGTGGCTCTCACCTATAATCCCAGCACTTTGGGAGGCTGAGGCGGGCAGATCACGACATCCTGGCCAACTCGGTGAAGCCCCGTCTCCACTAAAAATACAAAAAAAAATTAGCTAGGTGTGGTGGTGCATGCCTGTAGTCCTAGCTACTTAGGAGGCTGAGGCAGGAGAATCACTTGAACCCAGGAAGCAGAGGTTGCAGTGAGCCAAGATCAACAGAGCAAGACTCCGTCTCAAAAAAAAAATTAAATCTCATGAGTAATCAGAGAACGTTAACCCTTTTCACCCATCAAATTGTCAAAGATTTTCTAAGTTAAAAATAGTACTATTGAGAGTGTAGAGCAGTAACTACTATCTTCCGTAGGTTTTTAGAAAAGGAATTTGGTAATATTGTGTTAATCACTTAAATTCATGAAATTGTGTGCCAAACACTCTTCTGGGTGTAGGGTTACAGCATTGAGTAAGATCAACAGAATTCCCTATCCTGTGTCCTACTGGGATAGACAGACCAACAGTGTAACATAGTCTGTTATCGTTTATTATATAGTGATAAGTGATAAGGAGAAAGATAAAGCAGGAAAGAGGGATGTGGAGTATTAGGAGAGAAGGGTTGCAGTTATGCAGTAGAATGGCCTAGAAGGCCCTCATTGAGACCTTAAACAAAGGCCTAAGGGAGGTAAGACTGTCTTTCAGGAATCTATACTTTTTTCTTTCATTTTTTTTTTTTTTAGACAGAGTTTCACTCTGGTTGCCCAAGCTAGAGTGCAATGGTGCAGTCTCAGCTCGCCACAGACTCCGCCTCCCTGGGTTTAGGTGATTCTCCTGCCTCAGCCTCCCCAGTAGCTGGAATTACAGGCATGCGCCACCACGCCTAGCTAGATTTTGTACTTTTTAGTAGAGACAGGGTTTCTCTGTGTTGGTCAGGCTGGTCTCGAACTCCTGACCTCAGGTGATCCACCTGCCTTGGCCTCCCAAAGTGCTGGGATTGCAGGCGTGAGCCACCATGCCCAACCTCAGGAATCTATGCTAAAGGAATAGGAACTCAAAGACTTCCATCTAAAGATGTTAAGTAATTTTCATAATAGGTGAAAATTGAATCAAGGACCAGAGGAAAAAAAGAATATGTGAAAATTGCAGGGAGTAAATGTAAATACCCAACAGTAGGATAACTAGGATGATTTTTTTTTTTTTTTTTTTGAGACTCTCTTGTTTCGCTTTTGTTACCCAGGCTGGAGTGCAATGGCGCGATCTCGGCTCACTGCAACCTCCACCTCCTGGGTTCAGGTAATTCTCCTGCCTCAGCCTCCTGAGTAGCTGGGATTACAGGCACGCACCACCACGCCCAGCTAATTTTTTGTATTTTTAGTTGAGACGGGTTTTCACCATGTTGACCAGGATAGTCTCAATCTCTTGACCTCGTGATCCACCCGCCTCGGCCTCCCAAAGTGCTGGGATTACAGGCGTGAGCCACCACGCCCGGCGTAACTAGGATGATTTTTAGTACATCCCATGAAGGGAATATTATAGAGCCATTTAAAATGACAATTTCAAGAAAACTGCATGGACCAACTGCAGTGGCTCACGCCTGTAATCCCAGCACTTTGGGAGGCCAAGGCAGGCGGATTACCTGAGGTCAGGAGTTTGAGACCAGCCTGGCCAACATGGTGAAACCCTGTCTCTACTAAAAATGCAAAAATTAGCCACGCGTGGTGGCAGGCACCTGTAATCCCAGCTCCTCAGGGGCTGAGGCAGGAAAATGGCTTGAACCCAGGAGACAGAGGTTGCAGTGAGCCAAGATCGCTCCATTGCACTCCAGCCTGGGGGACAAGAGCAAGAATTTGCCTCAAAAAAAAATGAATACTTCATGATAGGGATAATTTTCATTGCATAGTGTTAAAAAGCAAGCAGGACACAAAATTGTTTATACAATTTAAACACTGATCTCAATTGTATGACATGAATGCCTGTGTATGCACAGGAAGAACTGGAAATACTGGTACCAATGTTCTCAAAAGAAGTGAAAAAAGACAAAAAAAAAAAATTCTGGAAAGCATTAGTAGTGATCATCTCTTGATGGTAAAATTATATATCATTTTAATTTTTGTGTTTTCCAAAATCCCTACAATCAACATATTTTCTATACAAGGACATTTTGACTGTCCTCCTAAGGGAGGCTAGAAAGAAGTTCTATAAAATTCCTTATTTCATTCATTCAGTAAACATTTCCTTGCCTGCCTGCTCTGTAGCAAATACAGAGCCAGCTCTGACATCCAGAGTCAGTCTTTGCCCTCAAGCATCTCAGTCAGGGGAGGAGAGAGACCTAACCATCCACTCTAATGGCCGCTCAGTGTCCTATGAATATAGCAGAAGAGTACCTGAAACCATGGAAACCAGATGGGAAAGTGGATCATAAAGAAAGAAGAGCAGGTTTAGGAAGATGATAACTTGGCCTGTGGACGTATTGAATCAGAGCTGCCTGTAGGAAATAGAAGGGGAGAAGCCGTTTTTACAGTTGGGTATAAGAGTTGAGCTCGTAAGAAAGGCATGTAGGCTGGGGATAGAAACTGGTGAATCGTCAGTAAATGGTTAGTGGTTGAAGTCCTGAATAGGGTAAGATCTTCCCAGCATAATACTGTAGTCCCCCTGATCCACCCCCACTTACCCCTTATTCAACTTTTGAGGTTTCAGCCACCCACAGTCAGCCAAGTCCAAAACACAGGCAAGTGCAGTACAATAAGATGTTTGAGTGAGTTATTTGAACTGTGTTCACATAACTTTATTACAGTGTATTGTTAGAATTGTTCTATTCTAATAGTAGTTACTGTTGGTAATCTCTTGCTGTGTCTAATTGATAAACTTTATCGTAGGCATGTGTATATAGGAAAAAAACATAGTATCTATAGAGTTCAGTACTATGTTGTTTAAAGCATCCACTGGGGGTCTTGGAATGTATCCTCTGCAGTTAAGGAACGACTGTTGTATGTAAAGTAAGGCCAGAAGGAGGCCAAGGACAAAACTCAGGACAGCCACCAGCACAAGGGGGTGCCTGATGGAGATGAGAAGGTGCTGAGAGACAGGAAGAAAACAAATGTCAGTGGCCGAATAGAAAAGAGAAGATAATCTCAATCCAGGGTCAATGGATGAGGATTTCCTAAATTGGTTTTTAGTAACAGTTTATACTTTTGAGAATTATATTCATTTAACCCCTGGGGAAAATTGTAAATCAAATGCATTTACAAAATTGCCGGTAGAATGGCTGCTTTACCAATCTGCTCTTTGTGGATATCAAGTGTACGCTCAACAAACTCAATTTTCCCAGCAGCAGGTGGCTTAATGACCACTAGTAGCACCAGTGGTTTCCTATTGCTCTAGGTAATTTGTTTTCATTCCCATATGGTATTTATGGCCATTATAATTTATTGATTGATTCTTCTGTTGACGGACATTGGGGGCTTTGAGGAATAGTGTTGCAGTGAATATCATTACCTAAGCACAGAGTTCTCTAGGACAGCCGTTTTTAGAATGTGGTTCATAGACCCTGGGGGTTCCCAAAGATCCTTCAAGAGGAAGTCTGTGGGATCATAACAACAAGACACGATTTGTCTTTGTCACTGTGTGGACATTTGTACTGATGGTGCCAAAGCAATAGTGGGTGAAGCTGCTGGCACCAGTGCATGAATTCAGACAGGGCACCAGGCCTCCTGCCATCATTGTGTGCTTCACTCCCCAAGCACTTGCAGCAAAGACAGACAGACAACACTAGATTCACTTTATTCTTTGGTTTTGTTTTGTTTTCTTGAGACAGAGACTTGCTCTGTTGCCCAAGCTGGAGTACAGTGGCACAATCCCAGCTCACTGCAACCTCTGCCTGCCAGGTTTAAGCGATTCTCCTGCCTCAGACTCCCGACTTGATGGGGATTACAGGTGCCTGCCACCATGCCTGGCTAATTTTTGTATTTTTAGTAGAGATAGGGTTTCACCATGTTGGCCAGGCTGTTCTTGAATTTCTGACGTCAGGTGATCCACCCACCTCAGTCTCCCAAAGTGTTGGGATTACAGGCATGAGCCACTGTGTCTGGCCTCACTTTATATCCTTGATGAAGCAGTAAGAAGTATTACTTTTATTAATTAAATTATGTTTTTGAGATTCATACGTGTCATTATGTGGAACTTAATGTTCATTCTTGTTGTTGAAAACTGCATGACCAGGCAATGTCTCAGACCTGTGATCTCAGCACTCTGGGTAGTCGAGGTGGGCAGATCACTTGAGCCCAGGAAGTCAAGACTAGCCTGGGCAACATGACAAAATCTTGTCTCTACAAAAAATACAAAAATACAAAGGGACGTGATGGTACACACCTGAAGTCCCAGCTACTTGGAGGGGCTGAGGCAGGAGG